ATTCATTGATTTTGACTCAGTAGCCTTGAAAACGTGGTAAAGATTAAAGAAATCAAAGATTACGTTACACTTATAGTAAATAAGTAAGAATGTCACAACAAAAATAGTAATAAACTATTTATTATCTTACAATGGCCTTGAAATGTTTTTGAATCGTTTTATTATTTCGTTTTAAGCGAAGTCAATTTTCAGATTGGGTATTTATTAGACAATATTAAAGGTTGTATTAATATAAACAATTATTATTAATATGTAATATTATTATAAAATATTTTCTTGCGCTATGTATTCTAAAATTAAAATACCTATTCAGTATTAAATCTTTTGATTATCATAATTAAAGTAATTTATGTACTTATTTAAAGTAAATCAATAGTAAATGTAAAATCATTTGATTTTCGACTTAATCTTTATTCTACTCCACTGTTCGTGGACATTTATAAATAATAAAATATGAAATTTTTTCTTGAATATCAATCTTTTGATAATATCATAATTCAAGCGAACAAGTTTTAAATATTTTCTTTAAGTAAATCAGAAATGAATGCTACATCCCTTGATTATTGTTTGGGTAGCAGTCTCTTTTTATTCTCCTCCTCTGATAGTGTCTATATAACTACTTTTGATATTTATTATATTTTGTTACTAGCTAATAAAAATGGCATATTTTACTTGAAGTGTACACACTATCCGCGCAGCTTAGTCACTCGGGCGGCCCGTGACCAGTTGGCAGCGAAGAGCCACTTGGTCTGGCGGCTATAGAAAAGTATCTAACAGATACAGTTTGGCGGACGGTGGCGGGACGGTGGAGGGGCCGGGAAAGTGTGTCAATGCGCTAACGTCAGAGCAGCTGATCGGAGAGCGAAAACATTAGTAATACTATTTAAAGAGAGAGCGCGAGAGCAGCGATCGTTTTGTTGGTAAACAAAAATCACGAACAACACGTATGATGATCGGGCTCTCTTTTTGTTGAACGCTGCTCAGCTGGTTGGAGCATAATTTTGGCGCTGGCTTTTGTTGACGGCTGCGATCGTGGCTTTTTGCGTTTTAAAAAAATACATAATTATGGGCTTAGATACGCTCGTGAGCGTGATTTTCCGCTCTCTCTCTCTCTCTTGGAAGAAATCAAAAACTGAGATACTTTTTCAGACCAAACAGCGATCGCTGTTGTCATTCGACTTTAATAGTTTAAAGCAGACACAACAGCAGCACCGCAACTCGAGTGCAGCAGAAGAAAAGTGAAAATTACCCTCGAAGAGAATTGGGTAAATGAACAAGAGAAGTGTGAAAAGTGAGATATACTATATAGCAGCCCAAAAAAAATAATAGAGTAAAAACTGCAGCTAAAACAGAACACACAGAAATACAACAGGTACGCACACAATGAGATACTCAGATACAGGTACTCGCAGATACAGATACAGATACAGCTACAGCCAAAGTATCGCAGTGTAGCTTTTGTTCTTGCGTCCGCTTTTGAAATTCAAATGCGCTTCCGTCGATTCAGTTGGCAATCGAGTGTCGACTAGGCTGTACCGTCTGCTGCAGTGGCATCCAAATCCAAATCCATTTACATTTACATTTACCCTGTGTATCTGCTGAATTGACGTGATTTTAGTGAACCATATACGTGTGTCTTCTCGGTGCACTTTTCCACATCCATAAGGTGAGCATCAGGCCATCGATACACGGGTATATATTTCCAATTGTGCTGCCAATTAGTGCCTATAATTGGCAGAATTCAGGCACTGCCAAGGTCGCCACTGACGTCATTTGGCTCTAGCTTGCATAATTCCGCATTATGCCATAAAGAGAAAATTCTATAGCCCCACTTCGCTTACGAGTTTTTTTTTTGTTTTCCCAAACAAAAGTAACAAACAAAAAAAAGGAACAAAACACAAAAACACGAAATTCCTTCAAAACAAAGGAACATTTGCACTTTGACTGGCCCAAAGCTTAAAGCTAATCAGATACAATTTGACTGATATGAATATATGCCCACATATATAGAAGATACCAGTCTGTATGTGTTTTTTATATAGATTGGCTATTGGTTTGCACTTAAGTAGAAAGCTTTGGATATGGTTCTTTGTTTGAAATACTTGTGGCCGTATAAATAAATCGGTGAGAGATTTTTAGTCTTTATAGTCCAGATATTCCAGTTCAGTAAGAGCCCCTCTTCTGCCCCATAAATCTTTGCTTTTGTACTTTTTCCATTCTCTGATCACTGCAGCTGTCAGCTCAACTAAATTAGTTCAAGTTCATTAGCCCAGCCCCATTTCAAAGCCTTCTCCCCCTTCGTTCACTATATTATCCCCACTATCTGGTAAACTATATGGAACAATCAATTGAACAAAGCTTGAACTTTCGACTGTCGGCTCGTTTGCTCGTTTGCTGCACACGCCAGTCAAAGCTAGACTATATAGTAAACAATAGTATACAAATAGAAATTATTAGCATAGTTGACGCTGTCTAGCGAAATCGTCTGGGGTGCGGCTTATCGCTCCTCAAGTGAGTTGGCGAATTCTACATTGCTAGGCTGATAAACAGCCAAACTTATTCCATCATCGGTGGAGAAGTTTGTTGACTTCGATAGCAAACAATGCCAAAACATTGTGTGACTAGCGATTTCCTCAATATCTAGTCTAGACTTATATAATCAATTAGCGATCAAGGTCAGTGCCAAAGCAAAACAAACAAAATTGTGAGCTAAAATAAACGCTATGATATGGTATCTACCAATGCAGCCTGTCTAGAATATATAATGAAGAATAGAATATATAATGTTCTATATATGCAAACATTCCAAGGTCACCATTATTTGGCTGCAGATGTGACAAAAGTGAAAACGAATTGACTGCAGCTCAAACAAAATAGACTTTATATCTCGGGGTCCATGACCAACCATTCGGGCGGGTTATCTAGGGTGCTGTAAGCTGTCGGCCATAAAAGTATGAGCCCTCGATCGGTCCCCCATACGTGTTTATTTATAAAATGCCTGCTCGGACCCGTAAACGCAGCAATCGCTGTTGTGCAATGCAGTTCATTTCGACTGCAAAATATTTTGCCTCTATTTTCGGTTAGATATATGCACTCTCTTCAATGTGCAAAAATATGGCAAGGCATTTTGAGGTCAACCAACAAGCTGTCTCTATGAAAATGCCCACTTTATTCCTATGCCAATTACAATGGCAGTCCTTTCCTGCATCTCTGCTTACTGTTCATTACCATCTCCAGGCAATTATCAGAATTTATTTCAGCTGCCCAAGTCAATGGCCCCCCATCAAATTTGATTGTCAAACTTTCGCTGACATTTCGACTCGGACTGCCTCATCAAACCCAAATTTCGTACGCTTTTTGTGTCTCTGCTGCAGGAGATTTCACTTTGTTAGTTTCTGTGGCTTTTCACGTTTTTGTTTTGCGGTCAAATTGCAAATTGCCCCGGCAATTGTCTCTGCAAGTCCAGCTCAAACTAAAGCTCCATTTCCACTGCTTTTGCTTTTGAGTTTTCCGTTTTTCGTTTTCCGTGCGCTGTTTGATCGACAAAAATATGCCAGTCGAGCTGCTGGCATCTTTATGACGATGCGATAATCAGGGAAAAACTGGGAAAATGCACAAGGAAAAGTATATTTTGAGAAAAGAATTCTCAGATTTTAATATATAATCTTTATTAGGCAGTATAGAAAACCACAATTATGGTTTCTTATTTGTTATTTTTAGCTTTTCACATCGCAAGTTTTCCAATAAATCATTTTAAGTTGTTAAATATACCATATTTGTTAAAAAAAGAGAAAACTAAAGTTTAAAGATTAAGTTAGAATCTAATCTAAAATAAAAACAGTTTTTTATGAAATTTTTCCAAATCTAAAGCAAATGTGAGCATGTATTTTGAAGAGTCATTGCAATCATAGTTTTCTCAATATTCGTCAAATCATTTTAATTGACACCAAAAGAGATATATTTTTCCGAGTGCACCACCGATTTGGTTCATCATTTGGAGAGATATGTACGGTTATAGTTTGAGTACAAATTTTCCTATTGTCATGACGTGAGCCCGATTCAAATTGCATATATGCAGTACACACACACACAGAGTGTTCAGGCAAACCGCTCAACGATTGTGTGTGCCATATATAATTGCCTCGATCATAAGCTCGGCGCATGCACACCGCTCGAGTTGGAATCGCATGGGATGGGATTGTGGGGACTGGGGGCTATCAACTGGGGAACTTAATGGCCAGTGCAGCGATACTTTATGGCAGTGGCCCGTCTATTATACAGTTGTCAGCACAGTGCTATAGATAGCATATAGATTAATGTAATCAAAAGTAATTGGCGCCTTTGGTTAGTTTGCGTTGAGAAAATTTCACTTTTCCAATCGAATTCGTAAGCCTATTTGCGTTGATTTCGCTTGAGCATATAGCATAAAGATCTAATAAATATCATCGAAGTGAGGCAATAAAAAATAATTGAGAAGGAAACTTATCTTTTGTGTTTTGAGCTCACATGCATTTAAATTAAGTAAAATAAGTGCAATTCAACCAAAAATAATTAAATTAATTGCTGGGAAAAACAAGGATAGATTCAATGGCGCATGTTTGATACTCTCTTAAATGTTCATTATTTTTTTTACAAATAGTTTATGAAATAACAGCTTTATTTGTTACTGGCACAAACATAAATTTAAGCATTTAATGAAAAACTTTTTAACAAGACCCTTAAAATCCGCTTAACAAAGTAAATATTTATTTTTTCCCACCATTAGTGTCTTGGAATTTTATAAATAATCAGTGTAAAAAACTCCACTGCTCACCACTTAGCAGAGTATGCGAAGTGTAATTAAATGAAATTAAGTAGCCGCCCCATTGAACCGCGTTCGCCCACGCAAACAAGCAGCTTACTGAAATGGGGGGGGTTGCTGATTACGCAATGTGCACACAATTTGCTAAGCTAATTTCTAACATTTTTCCCCACTCTTTCTTTCTATTTTCCGCTTGCAGCTTCTACGCTACGAAAAACTAAAGAACAAGACAAGGAAAAAGCGTACAAACAAAAAACAAATACAAAAAAAATAATTAAAAGACTGAGCAACGTTCAAGCAAATCCAAGGAACAAAACCAACAGCAACATAAGCAATCTCCCACACTATTTGTCTCTCTATAACTGTGAAACTAGGCCCGAAAAATCCGAGTGGAATATAGCGCAACTTTGATCTCAGCACCCGCAACGCGAAGCAATAACAGAAAAGCCAGCGCCTTCTACCGCCGGATCAGCCGCATTAACCCCGTATAATGTTAAGCAGCCTCGCCTCGTATCTCTTTGGATCGTCAGCAACATCCGAATCCATTAGCCAAGACGCCAGTCCCGCCCAGACAGCCCCCAGCAACCACAACTCCAATCCCGACCCCTCGAGCGATCCCTCGGCGGGCGATGTAATTGAGGTCACCTCCTCGACGCCCTCGGTAGCGGGCAATAATCGGGGGGCGGTACGCGCCTCCAACGGCAAGCGCGGCAAGAACAGGCGTGGCAAGCAGCAGCGGACCATTCAGCAGCAGCAGCAGCGGAAGCAGCCGGCCATCACCAAGCTACTGACGCCCTCGAGCGACTCCATCGACGAGGACTTCGACGAGGACGAATGGTACATCGTGGAGAAGGAAGGTGAGTTGGGAGTAACTGCTTGAAAATATATATAATAATAGAAGAGTTTATATATTACAAACAGCAGTTTAAGTTATAAAATATTTCCTTTAAAATTAAATGATGTTTCCAATTGAGAGACATAACTTTTCAAATCAATTAAGTTTTCCAGAAATAAAAAAACGCTTTATGATGAGTATAAATTTAACTCTTTTCAATAAAAGAATAAACATTTCAATACATTAAGACATAAATTTGATTGTTATAAATTTAAATTATCTTATATTAAAACATATCAATATATTAAAAATAAATTTGATTAGTATAAATCTAAACAATCTAATAATTCAAAAACAATTAATGACAATTAAAAATATATGTGTTATCTTGCAATAATCACAAGTGAATAATTTAATTCTTTGAAAATAAAGTAGGCAATTAAAATCATAAGGTTTTGAAGAAATTTTGGTCTTGATACTTGTCGTATCACTTTGATATGTTTAAACATATAGAGAATAATAAATAAATAATTGCATCTTACTAACCTCTCCTCTGTTTACTTTGCAGACGAGGAGGACGACTCCCTGCCGCGCAGCGACTCCGAGGAGGAGCTCTCCGTGGTGGAGGTGTCGCAGTCGCGGGGCGGCGCCCCCGCCTCCTCGGCGGGCTCCTCGGCCGGCGGCCATGGCCCAGCGGCCGCCTCCCAGCGCCGCCGGCAGCACCTCAACTCGCACTCGCATTCGCATTCCCTGTACAGTGGGCCGCGGCCGCAGCAGCAGCGCAACTATCTGCAACGCTCGCGCGTCGTTCGGCCGCTGAGCATCAGTACCCTCAGCCCGCCCAGAAGTGTGCCCGCCCAGGGAGCGGCGGACTCTGACAACCTCAGCCAGTCGCTGTACGTGGCCTCGCCCAGCGGCAGCGACCAGGGCCAGGGTCAAGGTTCAAACGCGGGCCTGGGTTTCGGCCAGGGTACTAATGTGCTGATGGAGGAGTCCTGGTACGTAACACCGCCACCATGCTTCACCTCGATTGGGCCAATCAATATGGAAACATCACCATTTGAGAATCTATTGATTGAGCATCCAAGGTTGGTGATCTTTATAGTACACACAATACGAGTCCCCATGCTCCCATGCCCCCTCCCCCATCCAGCAACCACAATTTACAGCCAAAAACGCACGCAAAATAATAGTTTTCCCTTTTAAATTGTATGATTTTCTATCTAATTTGTGGTTTGTTTTTCACTTGCAGCATGTCCGTTTATCGTAGTATTAGGTCCACCCAGGAGGGCACCGAAAGTTTTGTAAATCTTGATCTCGGGGTGTCGTCGGAGGTGCCGCAGCAGCAGCTGGAGGATCCGGAGCCGGAGGCCGAGCCGCAGGACCAGCACCAGGTTCTTCAGGAGCAGCGTTCGCCCAACGCTCGCTACGATCGCCATGCGGCTGCCCAGCTGAAGCAGCAGACGCTGGCTCGTCAGAGCCAGAAGGTAGGCATCGAGGGGCTATATCTTTATAGGGATATATTTTAATATGGTTTTTTATTGATTTTTAAAATTTATTTGAATAAAATATATATGCTTAAACATATTTATTTAAATATTTATAAATCCAAATAACCTTAAATCTAGCCCATGTGTTAAAAAGAAATTACATAAAGTTTATGGACTCATATGGGTCATATTTTTTTAAATATTTGGCTTTACTTACTTTAGTTTTGTGAGTGCAGAATAACTCTCCAAGTTTATAAAAAAAATAAATTTAATTCCTAATTGTTAATCAATACACATCCTATTCAGTATTTAATATTTATTTGTTCATATTCTCCCTAAATATAAATGGATGTCAGAGCTTATTGCTTATTGAAAAATGGTAGAATAGAATAAGAGAAATTAATGAATTTTATTTAAAAACCATTCTAAGCTTTGTTGACCTATCCCTAATCAATATATCCACTTTATCCCATCCACAGAGCAACAATAAGAAGCAGCACCAGCAGCTCTGCCGCAGTGCCATCAAGCGGGCCAACAAGGTGCGCGACTTCCAGGCCAAGGCCAACCGCCCACGCCGCTCGGAGATGCAGCACTGCAAGCTGGTCAGCGGCGCCAACAACAACCGCAGCAAGTGCTGCTACTAGGCACGCACCACCCACTGCAATCGCTGCACCACCCACCACCACCAACACCCACACGCCTCCCACGCCCATAAGCTGGAGGAGCATTACAATCATGGCAGGCGACGCGATTTTAATTAGTATTTTAACTTAACCCCCCAATGAAACGATAAAAAAACCGCAACTAAAATGCCACAAAAATATCAAAATCTAGCAGCTACAAAAAACACATATGTTTAATTAATTAAACTTAGCAATTAATTGTGTAAAAACGAAAAACAAAAGCCACAAAAAAATTTAACTATCTGTGTAAATGCGTAGGTTTTAATGTTTGCCGTTTCAATTTCACAACTTATATGAAAAATACCAAAAAAATGCAATAAAATTTTCAAAATGAATATGCAAAAAAACCCATAAGAAAAAAAACACACATGAAAAATGACAACAAAAAAAATGTATAAAATAAGCAACAGAAACGATTTTGTTAATGTAGCTAAGAAAACTATTTTATTTATTTAACAATCAAAACACACACACACAATTAATTTATGGTATGTTTTGCAGAAAGCTTATGTTTGTTTGAGTGAGCAATCTCTCGAAATCGATTTGTTTGAGTTTGTATGAATTTTTGTGTGTATAGTGTATGCTTATCGACATATAGGATGTATTGTATTAAACCCCTGGCACCAGATAAAATGTTCTATTGTATGCCTGATTATGTTGGAAATGCGCGTGCGTATGTGTGAAACAAAAATGTGTGAAAAACGGGGTATATATACCAGAAGGAAAAAATCACAATAAAAAATGATTATGCTAAAACTTAAATATTGATTTGATTTTTATGGGAACATTGGATTCCTGGAGGGTAATTGCTGTTGAGTTATAATAAAAGTTTTAAAATGGTTTAAGCTAAATTTTTATTTTGTACTCAAATTGCTGGAGATTCTCAAAAATAATTAATTTAAAACATAAATAAATAAGTCACTTGATGGTTTTTTTAAATGAAAGATTTATGTAGCTTTCAGAGTATTGCAAAGGCCATTACCATTACCAGGCCATCTACCTTATATTTTTCTCTATTAGAAAGGGATCACAACATTTTTATTTTAATGTACATTGAACATTCAGCTCTAAAATTTTTTGAGGACTTGCTTAGAGGTGAAAATATTGAAAATATAATGTACTGTAAGAGAACATTTTATTTCTGATTAATTATTATATATTTACTTGACATCCTAGCACTACTTGTATAGCTTAGTATTTAATGTGCTAGTCGCCAAAGATTGGAATATTTGTATCACAAAATTGTTAAAAAAAGGATCATAACAGGAAACAACATTTCAGGGAATGATACAGTTAATAGAAAGTTTTTTTTTTAATAAATGGATTTTGAATAAGTGGATTACATAAAGTTAAAGCTGTCTTAAGGTTTAAGTTGTAATAGTTAGCGAATAAAAATCTCTTGTAATGTAGGTCAAAGTGATCAAAGGAGCGTGCTGTCACGCTTGATGGACAAGGGCATCCCTTGCTTGGGTATGGATTTTAAGACATTGTCCATAGAGACGCAGTTATCCCAGGGTCAAACGGTCGGGAGGCGGATGAGCCTTTCACAACGCTTAAAGTGCCAAGTAACTAATTAGTGATTAGTATTTTAACGCAGACACGCTTGGCAAACGGTGGCAATTAAACGAGCCTAGAGTTTAACCTGCAGACCCACGCTCGACAGTTAGGTGCCGTTGACCTTGGCCAAAAGGTAAGGGGTTACTCTACTACTATATATTATCATTGTATGTGGCTCCTAAGACTCCTCCTTTAACTCCAACTTCCGCGATGCAAAGTGAGTCTAACGGCGAATCACAACGAAAGTAAATCAGCAAATGGAATCATCTCAGGTGGCTCTTCGAGATTCTTTCACAACCTGCAGCAGATGGAGAGCCCTGAGAGGCGGTTGGCTGGCTATGCTCTTTTACACAGAGAACAAATTCTATAAACTAGAAATACTTATAACAAGAAAGAGCAGTCAAACAAAAAAAGGCTGGATTAATATCCAAAAACCATGTTTTACGTTAGCTCATAAAAGGGGTTTTAAATAGATTAACATTTATTTTTATAATTTAATTTTTAGGATGTCTTTATTATCTCAACTAGCAAAAGTTAATATATATTATATGCAATAAAATTATACAAAAGTTAAAAACTTTAATTTTTCCTATCCTGACAAAACTGACTTGTCTTATTAATATGATTTTTCCATATGTGTATTTTAAAAATAATTTTGGAAAATAAATTGTAATAATAGATCAGTTTCTCTTTTTAGAATAAACAAAACTGCATTTTTCTCTGTGTATCATATTGGATGGCTGGATGTGTGGATGGATGGAGGAAAACTTTATAAAGATCCGCACTAGCCGCGCTTCGCTTCACACCTGCTCGCATCGCAAAGAGCTGCAAACCACAAGCGTCCGCAGAAGTTATAAGACTCAAAAATTCAACCGGCAACGGTACTCGGAACTCCGTTCGGACTATTATGTAAGATTAGGCAATCTGCGAACACACATCCACTTACATACTCGCCCAACTCCCCCACTTGGCGGCTGATTCTATTTGGCAAGTTGCACTTGAGTGATTTTTCGGGCTTCCAAAAAAAAAAAACAAAAAACGGAAAACCAACAAACCTTTGAACAGACGTGCAATATGTAAAGCGGCCCAAATGACGTAGCCGAGAAAACCCGACCAAAGAGCTGCCAACCAAAGATCGCGCAATATCAAAAAGCATTATCGAAAGTGAGACCAAGACAAAACCTCCCCCGCCCTCCGAAAAAATAAGAGCTACCGTTTTGTATCGCTTAAAGACCAACATCGGATCCGGATCGTCAACTTTTATGACCAACGTCGCGAGGATTTGCTAAGCGCCCCGAAATGGGCCAAGTTGTTCGGTGTCAGTTGGTCAAAGTGCGTGCCGAGCTGTGAACTGTGAACCGTGAATCGGGCTTGTGGGTGTGAAAAAAAGCGCGTTGGAAAACCCAAATTGAGTTGAGCAGGTCAGTGCTCAAACTGCCCTGAAAACAAGAGGCTAAACGGATTTAAATTAAAGGAACTTGTATTAAATAGGTAAGTACTTTGTTTGGCATTTTAAAAATAGCAAAAATATGGGACTTTGGTAAAGGGTTATAAGATTTTTTAAAAATTAAAATAAAATTATAAATTTGTCAGCATAAATCAAAGAATTTAAAAGTTTAAAGCTTATATTTTGGTATTGTAATCTGTTTAAGCTTTTTAAAATTAAACACCGTTTTAATATTTTGGATTGTTATCTGATTAGACCCTTTTTAACATATTAGAAAAGCTTAAAGCAACATTGGTTTTTTAAGGAATACCATAAGTAGATAAGAAAAGTTTAGGTCTTTGAAAACACAATCACTTTTGAGTTTCAAGAAAGTAAACTAAATAACCTCAATATTTAAGCAATTCTTAAGACTCAAAACGCAACCCACTTTAAAATGTTTGATTCGAATTTAAGGGCTGATCTTACAAAGACTCTTTTAAAAAATCAAACTGCTATTATATTATTCTACCAAAAGGAATTGTCAAAGACCCAAACCGTTTTAACCACCAACCAATAACGTATTTGGAACCGTTAGGTATTTGCAATTAATGCAGGCAAAAGAAAACGGCTCAAGGTCAGTTAAATGCGATTAACTATAATTATAAAAGCCAAGTGTAGGAGCAAAAGCAGAAGAACAACACCAACAAGAGTGGCAAATAATGAAAGCCAAAAACCGAAACCAAATGCCCAAGAAGAAGAAGCGGCAACAACATCAACTATTGCATAACAGAGCCCAACTACACAGCAAAGCGAAAAAAAAAACAATAAACAAACATGAAACAAACACCAACAAGAAGTTGAAGTAATTATAACAACAATTAAGCAAACGGCGTGCGTTTTTACAGCTAAGCGAAAAGGCAGCCAAGCATTTTGGTGGGCGAGGAGTAAATGCGGGGCGGATCATATCGTTCATTAAAATGTAATCCAAGTTTAAGCGCAGACTGAAATCTTAGACGGCGGGTTCTGCGTGGGCCATAATTAAACCATCGCAACGGGTGACAGTTTTATGGCTTTGACCTTAACGCCAGACAAACGGAGTTAGAAGATGATGTATCTGAAGTAGTCATTGTTCTGGCCATAACTTCAACGACATTGATAGGAAGGAAAACTAGCATGGCGAAGAGTCCAACGGAAGTTACATTATGCTTGATAGATAACCTGAGATATAACCTTAAGATAGACTGGTAATTTAATTAAACTATCCCAAGAACATATATTTAGTTTGACTGAAGTATTTGGAACTAAATGAAAGTTAAAGAGCCTCAAAAATAATTTGACATAAAAACACCAAAAGCTTAAAGGGCATAATAAAAGGTATATACTAATTACAATCTTATTTTAACTACATATTTATAATATATGAGAGTTTTGTGTTAAAGAATGTCGACTTATTAAATCTAATATTTTAATCATTTTAAGAAAACAAACTCAAAAAAATAATTACAACATTAATAAAAGATTGATTTAAAATAAACCAAAATTATTACTCAATTTAAGTAGAAAAGCCAAGACAGCTTAAACAGTTATTAACCATAGAAAAATGACCTCTATCTTTATGATCTGCCATAAATCAAGTTACGGGCACCGCAGAGATGCCCAAGATCTTCCACTTATGCACATTGGCCACAATTAATTTATGAAGCACAAACTTCCTTCCTGCCAGCACGCATTTGGTGTAACCAACGGCGGACAACACTTGAGTGACCACTACCAAGGTCAGCGTGGGGCAGCACCAAGCATGACGATAATTATGATACTGATACTGATACAAATACTGATACCGATTCATATTCGCATTCCGATAATATTGAATGGTCCCCTATGGGACTCCATCTCGATCTTTGCAGCTGCCAGTCGAGTGACGGACATGAAGATGAGCAGATTACCCAAGCGCTTCGGTCAGATTCTGCTGATGATGCTGCTGATGAAGCTGCAGGTAAGGAACCTTTCACCTCCGACCGGTTGCCCAACGCGAAGTGCATTGCCCAAGTGGCGGCCGATGGGAAATCTAATCTATTTAACAGTTCTTAGCATGAACTTCCTGATTAGGCCTCATGAACCGTAGCCGATCGTTGGCCAATCGGCCAGCCCGTCTAACGGATATGCTCTGCTCTAATGCAGATTGCGTATCGACCGCGAGCGGAAGAAGCTTTGTCTGCCCGAAATTATGTGGCTTTGTTGCTGATGCAGCACTTTTACTGTTTCTACTTCTTTCGCGGACTCATAAAACCCAAGACTTAAGACACAAACTCGACCGAGTGATTTATGGCATTGCGTATACGCCCCACGTGCCGCACGCACTTTTGTAAAAGCTTCGTTTTTTTTTTGCAGCTGCAGCCCATTAGCGGTTTGGAACAAAGCACAGACTACACGGTTGTTAGCAAAAGTGCAGGTGTGGCCACCACCACTTCGGCACCACCCACGCTGGTGCCACCACTACGCATTTTTAAAGGTCGCATTCAGACCACAACTCCATCTGGATTATCCACTTCTGGTAGTCGTCCTTTGGCCGCTGGAGCTGAAGCGCAACAGGAGTTGGTTGGCATCTCCAAGTCTTACATCTCCGGACCCACCACACAACCCTCGAAGTTGTCTAAAAGAGCTGGATTAGCAGGGCCTAAAAAGTTCCCGAAGGATGTGCGCAATCGCAGCAGCAATGCTGTGGAACGCAACAAGCTACAACACGAAGTGGTGAGTTTTTATATAAAAGTGTACAGACTTTTTAAATGATTTATTTTGTAATAAAAGCCCGATCACGTGCCCGACTCTTCTGGCTTTATACCCCATCGCATTGGCCATCCTGTGCACCTGGATTACGGTTCTACGGGCGTTGATTCCAGTGGAGCTCCTACAGGAAGCGGAGGATATCATGCTGCGCCCTATGAAAACAGCAAATGGCAGGAGGAATACTGGGATCAGGAATACGCGGGACAACAGCACCAACACAATGGAACCAGAGTGCAGCGTAAGTATTATTTATTTGCTAACTAAAAAAGAAAATTTTTAGAAACAACTACATCAGAAATACTTTTAAAATATTTTCTATATTTACCCAACATAGACATCGAAGCGGAATGTCAGGATGACTATATGAAGATACGCATTGGCTTCAATGGCTCTTTCAGTGGTTTGCTTTATTCAGCTGGTTATGCTTATGATCCAGACTGTATGTACATCAATGGATCTGGTAGGGACTACTACGAATTTTATATTCAATTAAATCGATGTGGTACATTGGGCAAGAATTCTCTGCAAGAGGAAAGTCGCAAGAATCCCACGGTGCGTATGATTAATATAAGTATTTATCATTAAATAATAGGTTATATTTCTGCTATAGAACTTTATGTGGAATACGGTAACAGTGCAGTATAATCCACTGATTGAAGAGGAGTATGATGAGCACTTCAAGGTCACCTGCGAGTATGGCTATGATTTCTGGAAAACTGTGACATTTCCCTTTCTAGATGTGGAGTAAGTTCGCAGCTTAAGATTAATAATTATTTATTAATAATTTATTTTACCTAGGGTGGCCACTGGTAATCCTGTAGTCTTTACACTAAGTCCACCCGAATGCTATATGGAAATCCAGAATGGCTATGGCATTGGAGGTCCACGTGTGACTGGTCCAGTGCGTGTGGGCGATCCCCTGACCTTGATCATCTACATGAGGAGCAAATATGGTAAATGCACTTAACCTTAGCATCTAAAGTGGTCTATTAATGGCGATCGGGCGGTCCACAGACGGCTTCGACATTGTGGTCAACGATTGCTATGCACACAATGGCGCCAACAAGCGGATACAACTCATCGATCAGCACGGTTGTCCGGTGGATGACAAGCTCATCTCACGCTTCAGGGGTTCCTGGTCGGATTCTGGAGTGTACGAGACCCAGGTGTATGCCTACATGAAGACCTTCCGGTTCACTGGCTCCCCGGCGCTCTATATTGAGTGCGATGTGCGGATGTGCCATGGGCGGTGTCCAGTAAGTAATGCCTTGCATTGCATATAATGGTCCAAAATTGGAAATTCCTACCTTGTTTTACTCGTTATAAAAATTCAAAATACTAATATTTTTATGGATGAAAATAAGGATATTTGTGTCAAAAATCCATTTTTTAACATAATATTAATAATATTAGGCATATGAGTGTTACAAAAACATCTTAATCATATTTACACTTGTTAAAATAATTAAAAATTATTTTTTCACAGAGCCAACCATGTCACTGGAGAAATCTAAAGGCGGTGACCAAGCGCGACACCTCGAATATGACGGCCACAAATCTTTCCATGCCGCCATTATCCGCCGAAGGCGATGGCTTGACCACGGAGAATCCGCCAGCGAATTCGCTTTCGGAGAACGTAAATCTCTTCCAGTCACTTCGAGTTTTGCAAGAGGGGGAAACTGATGGGGATGATGTGTATGCCCATCGGCAGTCGAAGCCCTTGTCGCCACACCAAACCTGCCTGAAGACCTCGACATTTTCGGCGCTGACCGCTGGCTGCTCGGCGATATTGTGTGTGCTTACAGTAACCCTCTTCATTGCCTGCTCGAGATTAAAGCGCCGCAAGGAGTCCTCACTGTACGACTCGTATATAGCACACAAAGGACAAATCGATTGATAGCACGCAATCTGGCCAAGTTTTGGCCTTGTTCTGAGCACATTGTGTATATAGCTTTTGACCCACAACATTCTGTTTTAGTTAGAGCTAAGTTTGCTGTAGTCTTTTTATTAGGTTCTGCGTGTTAGACTTAAGTTTTGATTTTGCCAACTATGATCGTGGGTAGAAAGGTGAAGAGCTCCCACGATTTCTTAAAATTATAAACATTTTCAAATTCTTTCTTAATAAATAAAGTATTTAAAATGGAATTTTTTAAACGAAAATTGGTTTGTTTTACTTATTTTGCATGTATGTTCAAAGAATTTTTAAATTATAAAACAAGAAAAGATACAAGTAAGAATTAAGAACTATTGAATATACTAAAAAAAAAACTTTATGATTATTTAATTTTCTTTATCATATTTTCGAAGTTATTACCTTCTTAACATAGTTTACCAATTATCTACATGTCTTTTAAAAAATCTTTTTTTTGCCTACTTTTAGGCTGCAGCAAAACCAATAAAAATGGTGACTGTAAAAAATGTTGCTTGCACTTGGGCTTGCCTCTTATAATCTCTTCAATTTGCTTAATTTGAAATGTAAGTCTGGCCTTAGGAGGCGTGTTTTTGCGTTACCGCTTATGCCGCTCCATGTGGCAGGCATAAGGAAGTCGAAGGTGACTCGTGCCACCTGTAACACTTCCTCATGGGACCGGCTTTGTCCTCAGCCATTGACACGACCATTTTCGGTGCTTTTGGAGAGCTTGTCACCGAGCCATCGAGATTTATGTGTTTTGACTGGCTTTTGTCGGTCGTGCACCTAGCCGCATGATTTTCGCTTGTTGCCGCTTCCAAGGTACTGGGTTTGACACAAATTTGTGACTGCGGCGCGCCGCAAAGCATTGCCCAAAAAGTGTTAATATGGTTGAGGACTTTTAATATTGCCCAACCGAAACTGCAACTTCGGCTGCATCTGCATTAGCAGCAGCCGCAGAAATACACTGCTAATTGTGCAATTTTCGATGGCCCGCTCATTTGGCCTCTATTATTGTTTTGGCAAACGCTCATCGCCTGTTCTTGGGTGTAAAAATTAACACGGAATTGGCCAGAGCCAACGGCTAATTAATTTATTTGGCTGTGCGAAAACAAACAAAAGAACCCACACACAATAACAATCCAAATGTTTATGATATCACATTACATTTTTATGCAGAATGACAGTGTTTTTTTTCACACACAGTTTTGCATACAATGATTGTGGCTGGCTGTTTTTTTTGCTCATTTATGATTAATGACAGTTTAAGAAGCGAGTGAGCAAAACACACTAATTGAATCATAAGCTGGACGTGGCTCTCTAAAATTTAAAATGCCGCGACATGCCTTGGCTCTTTCTTTGCATAACGACCCCGCCCAGTGTGTTTTTAGGTGATTTCTCCATTTTTTCTAGGCCATCTCATCCATCTCGGCCACGTAGATCAGTGGCTTTGCTCAAGACGACCTTGAGCAAAGTGTTTCAATTGAATGCAGCGAAATGATTAACTAAAAATTTATGAAGATACAGAAATTAATTTGATGTAATTTGCGTTGGCGTTGCCATTGATTTTATCGCTCTCTAGTGGCGAGGAAAAACCTGCCTCTTGGCTGCTGGTGACACCAAAATGGCACCAAAATGGCACCCAAATTGCGCCAACCGAGCCGCACAAAGGCTTCAAAGCTGTGCTTTTTATGCGCTCCACGGCGACCTTAGAGTTTTTTAGAGTTTTTGCCCAGCGCAGCCGCATGTCTCATAACTTGCACGTTCGTGGCCTGAGTTTTTCGTCTTTCGTCTTTCGTTGCATTGTATTGCGCTGTCATGCGCACATGAAAATCATCATCAGCAAGCCGGGCCAGCCAAACGTCGAAGAAAAACCACACGGAAAAAAGAGATCGTTTTTCACTATAAATTATCGGGTCAAAATATATCAAGATCAATCAAATGGCTTATTCCACTTCTCTTTAAAGTAAAAACTTTTATTACATGCTTTGCTTACCGAACTCTCATTTTCTTAAGCATTTTATTATTAAATGAAACATCTTTTAGATTTGACATAGTTTTTAAAAATGCAAACTTAATATACAAGCTATTTTTATCTTGGTATTACATATTTGTGATCTTTTACATCAATAATTTATTTCATGTGATATAGTTAACACAAAAACAAAAACACAAACATTTTCTTTTTGGCAATTTCCTAAAATATATTATATATATATTATATATATTTTTCAACAAAATACATATTTTTACTCTCTAAGTTTATGGCTTAAAATGGTAATCAAATAATATTTTTTAAAGTGCATTAAAGGCAACTTCAGCAACACCATTAAAATCAGTAATGTAAAAATATGCTTTCATTACCAAATGTCTAGCGCGCAAGTATTAATACACATGGAATGTATAATGTTTTCCTTTGGGCAACTCATCGTTGTCTCTTTTCAGTTTTTTCTGTGCAGAGAATCTTTAAACGCTTTTCGGTCTTCATTGTACTTGTTTTTCCCCACCCTTAATAGATTAAATAAATTGTGCAGCTATCAATCAATTCACGGAAGTTTTTCAATACACCCATCCATTTGGCAATTTGATTCAAAATGTAATTAAAGGTTGAGACAAGTGCTGACGGCTGAATGAGTTTTGGAAACCGAAAAGGTCAAAAATTATTGCCTGTCCATAAAAGACCTATGGAAGAATGGGCTTGCATTATCAGATAACTGGAACAAATTTAGCTCAATTGTAGTTTTATTTTGTAAATTTTTTGAAAAGTGTCTTGGCAACTTAGTGCAAATTTATTTAAGCCATTTAGGCGCAATGAGGAACTGCGCTTTGCTAATGATACCCACCAGCGATTAGTCGCAGTCGAAACCCAGCTAAAAAAGCTATGAAACGACAAATTAAATGCCACGCCCACATGACCTTTTGAGGCGTTGCCTTTGTTCATTATTTTTTGTTGTTTCTCGCTAAATTTATAGGCCCAAGTGTTGTGTCATAATTAAACATTTTTATAACACAATAAAGCAAGATTATCAAATAGCGGAAGCATTCTTCCATTTACTTTTCGCAATCACTGTGGTGGAAACTTTTTGTGGGAGGGCGGCAACCCTGGAGGCCAAGCACATGTGAACCAAAATTATCAACAGCTGATAAGGCCAACTGCTTTTGTTTACAAACTAAAGATAGGTGGAAGGGTGGGTTGCGGAAAAACATCTTTTGAAAAGAGAGTGCTTTCCTAATTTCACTCTCATTTATCCGGGATTTTAGCGCCTGCGTCCTTGCATTTCTTTTCAGTTTTGGCTGCTGCGCTCTAGAAAGTCAGAATCCCATTGATTTTTATCCAGAATCCCGAAGTAGAGTTCTTAATCCGCACCCAAACTGACGGCTCCAGTTCAAGACGAAAAGTTCGGAAAGAAAAATCATTAAAAAGCTGTTAAAATTAAGCAAAATATTTAAAAAGAAATAACCAAAATCAAGAGAAGCTTGAGTTGAGGTGAAGTGTGCGTTTTCAAGATGTTCGACCGGGTCTAAGTCTGAGTTTTTTGTGTCTACAGTTTTGGGGCGTGGGCCCAGCCAAACCCGATAGCTCCAAATTTGGCCATGTCCCTGGAGTAAGTGAAAAGTGGAAAAATCATGGAGTCTTCCAGCAAATCCTGGCTGCTGTGCAGCATCCTGCTGATCCTGGCAATTTCTTTGGGTACGTACTTTGGGCTGCGACGGCAAGGACTGGTTGTTCGCCCCGCCTCCTTTCGGGCTGGGGCGGTTATGTAATTACCAAAAAAAAAAAAAAAACCAAGAAGAGGCCTTGAAAAATCTTTGTTAACTCTGCTAATCGTTTCTTAGACCCCGCAAACAAAAAAAAAAGCCAACTATCTTTCTATTTCTCTTCTCTTAGCTAGCTTACGATTTTACAGCAATGATTTGATTTTTTTCTTAAATTTACGCTTTGCGCTGGCAGCGCCGCCTTAACAAGTTCTCCAAGCTCTCATTGCCAACCACCAAGAACCAACAACTACCACCACCGGCCCTTCAGCTCCTGGCATCCAACGTTTTGTGTATATAGCTTAGCCACACTACCCCCAAACAACAACAAAAAGAACAACAAATAAAGTATAGCAACTATATCCAGTAGACCAGCAACCGCCACACAACCACCGACAAATCTCGACTTGCGATTGCCCCGAAAATAAATGAGACTTGGAGAATCTGCCAAAGCGTCGCTGCTGCAGCGCTGCAAACGAAAAAAAAAATACCGAAAAAATTATAACCGAATCACAACTGCGCTAGTCATCAACTCTATGTAAACTAACTATATATTCCGTAATCTCAAGTAGAAACCCTCATAGCACATCCCGCACTCGATTCAGTGCCGCCCCACAGACTAGATCTTCTGCCATAGCTCTATCTTTAAATAGATTTACTTAACCCTAGCTTAGCTCTAGCTATCTATCTCGCTCTCTGTCTCTTGCTCTCTCATTTTCGCTCCCGCTCTCTCCAAATCTCTCCAATGCTCGACATCTATAAACTTCTGTACCTGAACCAGAAACTATACTTCCAGTACACCTGCATACTCGTCTTACTCTATGAATATTATATATAAACATATATCCCCCAGCTATAATCGCTTTTGTAATTAAACCTTTCTCCAGAGTCCCCTCTGCATCTCTCTCTCGCTCTCTCTCTCTCTTTGACTCTCTATCTCTCTGCCTCTGTCCACACCCCCCAAAAAAAAAAGTTCCCATGACTATGTATCTACGAAAAGCGTGGTAGCCAAGGTCCTTGAGGGACCCGCAGGATGGGTGGTGGCGTACAGCATCCGACCGACCACCGCAACCGAAATGAACAGCAACCGAAAAGAAACAGAAAATGCAAATCAAACGAAAATGCAATGAACTGAACCAACAATGCATATATGCTATATATACGTGTATATAAAGATTTCTGTATCAACTGCCGAATCTTAATTCATACTCCTTCTCTTCTGAGCAGTCCAAGAAGTAACGAAAAGAAAAGCAAATAGAAATTGTAGTCGAATTTCGCATAGACAGAACCCCCCAATCAGGTTTAGAGTTATATTTGGTATATAAGAAACGAAAAAATATTAGTACATTCACATTCATTCGCATACACAGACACACATGCACATTCAGACATTCGCTTAGTATTTATCATCATAAATGTATACCCAACCCAAAAATCATATCGTTCACCTAGCGTTAATTGCAGCTCCAAAAAGGTGTTTCGAAAGCCACGCACTCACACTGTAGCAGAAGTGGTCGTGCTCCATATATGAGACCATACACACGCACACACTCGAACGACAAGGATAACCCGGTCACACACACATGCGGCGGAGAGTGTGGGCCCCAGCATCTCTGAGCTTTCCTCTCCCTCTTTGCCACTCTCTCTCTCTCCCGCTCTTTCGAAGGACATTGCCGTATGTGTGACGTGAGCTTTTCCGGATAAAGCTCACTCAGCTGTCAAACAGAAAGGAAAACAACTGTAACAGGGACTATAGCCATCTCTGTCCCTTGTAGAAAATAGAAGTGGAAACTCCCGTTAGAATATCCCTGCTGGGACGCCAATACAATGTTGCACTTTGTTGAGCACATTTTACCGAATAGCTAGCTCTGTAATCTTCTAACCTTAGTAATTTGTTGTGCCAGGACTCTAGGACTGTAAGAATCACGAGGCACTCGCATTAAACCATCCTCTATGTGGGGGGGTATAGCCACTTCCCCATCTCATAGTTCTTGTTTAATGCAAGTGCCTCCCATGCGGCGTATACTCAACGTAGGCCAGAACAACAGCAACAACATCAACAGTGCCACTAGCACACCACCACCACAACTAAAACCACCACAAAAGACACCCACCTGCACTACCAAAAATACAGCCACTGAAAAATTAACCACAATCGAGCGGTTCTCATGTGTCGTCCATTTTTGTTTTACTTTCCCAATCAAAATTCCAAAGTGATGCTGAATTTGAAGACGATGAATCGGTATAAAGTCTGAGAATGCCTCTGTCCTATCTGCTCTCTCTCTCTCTCTCTCTTTCACTCTTCCTGTCTCTCTCTCGCTCTGTCTCTGTCTAACTCTATCTGTCTATAAGCTAAATCATCCCAAGCCCATTCAAAAAAAAATTCTAAAAAAATGAACAACAAGAAAAACTTAAACAAAGAATACAACAACTTTGCTCATCCGTTCGTTTCTTTGTTTCTCTGTATTTTCTTTCATTACTTTTGCCTTTGGAAACCCTATGTGTTATTGTGTGCCCACCATTATGCTTTAATTAAACCCTATATTCCCTCCTCGCAATTCCCGAATGTTTGTGTACCCGCTTCCGTTTCTTGGGTTCGCTTCCGTTTCCGTTTCTGTATCCGTTTTCCGTTGTGTTTTTTAGTCAGTGCATCCGAAGATGAAGAGCGCTTGGTGCGTGACCTCTTTCGAGGCTACAATAAACTCATACGACCCGTACAGAATATGACACAAAAAGTTGGAGTAAGATTTGGTTTGGCGTTCGTACAGCTAATCAATGTCGTAAGTGTTCTCAAAATCAAATTTGTCAATCAAAAAACAACCTGAATAATAACAATAAGATTATGCTAATAAAAAAAAAACAAAAATCATAACTAACATTCGTAGAGTGTAAATGTGTTTTCGAGTTCTGTTCCTAACAAATTCTTCAGTTTCGTTGCTGTCATTTATCGTCCATATAAAAAAAACAAAAAAAATAACATACACACACACAAACACGCCCATTGACAGTCAGCAACACCCATACACACACACACAAACACATGCACTGGCTGCTCCCTCGGCCACGCCCCCCGTCGCGGGAGATGGGTGGGGCGGGGGCGGGAGGAGGGGCGCATCCAAAGTTTTCAGTTTCGGTTATGCTTTGTAAATAATTACGTACACGTTGTCTTGACTTTGTATGTTTGTAGTGAACTTGATGCTAGTAAATCAAATACAAAATACAAATACTAACCCTAAACAATTAAGATTAAACAAGCAAAACAAACTAACCAACTAACTAACTAACTTACCAACTAAAGTAAAGCCACATGCGAAATAATGTCTTAACTGCCTTCCCACCCGCTCTCTCTCTCGATTTCTCGATTGTGTACGCCAAAATATCGATTCGATTTCGATTCGTTCCGAATCTCAAATGCAAATCGTACTATTACTCCGTACTTCGTACCGTTCTCTCACACCACCAAACCACCAACCAACCAACCAACCAACCAACTAACCAACCAACCAACCAACCACCAAACCACCACCATCTGATCACAAATCAAAACCGAAAAACAAAACGAATTCCCGAAAAAAAAAAAATTCACCATAAAAACCGAAAATCGAAAACCGATCAAGAATGAGAAAAATCAAATTATGAAATCAAACGTTTGGTTACGTTTGGTTTGGTACGACTACCAGCTGCAGTGGGATGAGGCCGACTACGGCGGCATCGGGGTTTTGCGTCTGCCCCCCGACAAGGTTTGGAAGCCGGACATTGTGCTCTTCAATAAGTGAGTAAATGGCCATTTTCTCTAGCTAACCCATCTCAACTCCAACTCCAACTCCAACTCTGTACACTATAAGTCAAGAACAAGAAAACAAAAGAAACCGTAGGCGAAAGTCGGAGCTTTTCTCGTTACTATCGCTGTGAATGAATGCCCGAAATTAATATTGTACTTTTCCGCCCCCTAGTGCCGATGGTAACTACGAGGTGCGCTACAAGTCCAACGTGCTGATCTATCCCACTGGCGAGGTCCTCTGGGTTCCGCCGGCCATTTACCAGAGCTCCTGCACCATCGACGTCACCTACTTCCCCTTCGACCAGCAGACCTGCATCATGAAGTTCGGTTCGTGGACCTTCAACGGCGATCAGGTCTCACTCGCCCTGTACAACAACAAGAACTTTGTGGACCTGTCCGACTACTGGAAGTCGGGCACCTGGGACATCATAGAGGTGCCCGCCTATCTGAACGTCTACGAGGGCGACAGCAACCATCCCACGGAAACGGACATCACCTTCTACATCATCATCCGACGCAAAACGCTCTTCTACACCGTGAATTTGATTCTGCCCACGGTGCTGATTTCGTTCCTCTGCGTTTTGGTATTTTACCTGCCAGCCGAAGCCGGCGAGAAGGTAAGATTGGGATCGTCGATTGGTGATCAAATCCCGCTTTTAGAGGGTCACATCTGGTCACGGGTGGGGTCAAGTCAAGAGTACTATACACTTTGAACAGATATCTAATATCATAACCCGCCTAGATATTGTCAAACCACTTATTTCCCTATAATTAATGATCAAAACATCTTTGTAAACATTAATTAGCTTAACTTCAGCATCTGGTTTTTAATTTGGCTAATTCCAAAAAACAAGATTGATTAATTCCAATTCGATACGCCGCTGAGCTTACAAATTTGATAAACATCTAAAAAAATAGTTTTAATTGAGGCACAGTCTTTTGTTTTTTGTTTTTTTTTTGAATATTTAATTACTATCATATTTATTTTAAAATTGCGTATATATTTTTTGATGATTCTGTAAGCATAAAAGCAAAATCAATGTTATTAAATTTAAGTTTATTCATACTTTTAAAGCTAAAAACTCGGCACCGATGCATAAAACAAATTTTATTAAATATAGGTTTGTTATTCAAATTTTTTAAAATTTTCTACCGAGAAGTTCTTGCGACTGTTTTTTCCTTTTGCTTGGTACCTTTTTGAGCTGGTTTTTTAGGTGGGGTCACGGCCATTACCCGATCGGTTAATAACGATGTTTGTTCCCAGGTTACGCTTGGTATTAGCATTTTGCTGTCACTGGTTGTGTTCCTGTTGCTGGTGTCGAAGATTCTGCCGCCGACGTCGCTGGTGCTGCCGCTGATCGCCAAGTATCTGCTGTTCACCTTCATCATGAACACGGTGTCCATCCTGGTGACCGTGATCATCATCAACTGGAACTTCCGTGGGCCGCGCACCCACCGCATGCCCATGTACATCCGCTCCATCTTCCTGCACTACCTGCCCGCCTTCCTCTTCATGAAGCGTCCGCGGAAGACCCGTCTGCGCTGGATGATGGAGATGCCCGGCATGAGCATGCCCGCCCACCCCCACCCCTCCTACGGCTCGCCGGCCGAGCTGCCCAAGCATATCAGCGCCATCGGGGGCAAGCAGTCCAAGATGGAGGTCATGGAGCTGTCCGACCTGCACCACCCCAACTGCAAGATCAACCGCAAGGTCAACAGCGGCGGCGAGCTGGGCCTGGGCGACGGCTGCCGCCGGGAGAGCGAGTCCTCCGACTCCATCCTGCTCTCCCCGGAGGCCAGCAAGGCCACCGAGGCGGTGGAGTTCATCGCCGAGCACTTGAGGAACGAGGATCTGTACATTCAGGTGAGCAAGTAGAACTTGGGGCATCATGGACAGTAAAAAACTAAGAAAAGAAAGAAGGGGAGTATTTTACTTCTGCACTGATACAAAAATGGAATAGTAAAAATAAGTATCTGAATCTAAGCAATAAATTAAATACTTAATTGAATCATTTAATATTCAAATATTTTAGTAAAGTGAAAAATATTATTTCTATTTGTACAAAGTTAGGCTAAATTCTTAAAGTAAATTCACAAGTAAATACAGATTTGTAAAACACATTATATTCCTTTTTCTTTAATTAATTGACAACTGATTGAGTCATTAAGTCATAAACATTCCTGTGTTTAAGAGTAGTTATCAAAATCATTTTGACAAAACTGTAGTTGTGGGAAAATCCTAAAAAAAAGAATAATTTAAAATGATTATAATATGGCAGCTAACAAAGTGATTTAATCATTGAACACAGATGAAAATATTATGTTAGCATAGTTGAATAGTTAAATTAATAGTAACTTCAAAATTATTAAAATTAATACTAAATTAAGCTGAAAACCCATAAATGGACAGCTGTTGTCAGGAAAACAAATTACAATATGGTAATAAACATTCGATTAATTAATTATTTATAGTTAGATAATTATGAAAAAAACTTTAGTACTCATATTTTATTTATCTTCTGCATCGAATCCCATTCACACACCAGACTCGCGAAGATTGGAAGTACGTGGCCATGGTGATCGATCGTTTGCAGCTGTACATCTTCTTCATTGTGACCACGGCCGGAACGGTGGGCATTCTGATGGATGCCCCGCATATTTTCGAGTACGTGGATCAGGACCGCATCATCGAGATTTACAGGGGAAAGTAAGCGACAAGTGAGGACTGGGAGCAGCCAGGGGCTGAATGAAATGGTTAACAGCATTGCAAACGCAACAATAATAAGCAAAACGAGGTATTGAGACAGAAGAAAAACAATGAAAAATTGCGAAAATTAGCGCGGATTTTTAGATTTTAATAATTAAAGAACACTAAACGATATTTGCTTGAGCAGAATTAACACCTAAAATAACTAACTAATATTAACTCATTTTGGTAAGCACACGAATTGGAACACTGAACAACACACACACACTAAACAGTCGTCAAGTAAAACCAATAAGCAAATAATTCACCAGCAACAAATGTTAAACAAGTAAATCAAAAAGACAACAACCTAGTGGAATTGTGAGTAAATTTATTATTTTTAAAACGAACTTAGCTAATATAGACATATATAGAATGAAGTTTAGTTTAAGTGCAATAAACAGCGGGACGACCGTTTTCCACGAACTTGTTATTATGTTGTGCCGAACTTAATCATAAGTAATCCAGTTTTACGCATGAGATTTAAGAATGGAAACTGGAAACAGCCCCAATCAATTTGTAAATGCTTCTCAAATGCGATCGCAGCTAGCATAAAGATCGTCTTAATCGGAGGCCCAGGCTGCCAACCCGGAGCCAAACATGAAACCAATAAAAATGCAAAGTTAATTAACTGAACCTGACTATTAGCTGTCTTGGCTGCATCGCGCATACGCCGCGTGTTACGCGCCTGGTCATTTGGCTTATTAGCTAATTGATATGGGCATAATATATATTTTTATTGGCCAACTGGAGAATGTCGATTCGCATAAGCATCGATTGTCTGTACAGCTTACAGAGTAAACAAACATCAAAGTGGGAGGAGGGTTGGGGTTGCCAATTATGTAAGCACGATTCTAACAGATCTTGGCCATATGTGTGTGTTCGGTTTGAAATGTCTGGCGGTTATTCGCACATTAATCATCCGCCCACGTAGCCCACTATGGTGTGAATTCTGTCGTCTCCCATCGGACCTAATTAGTGAAACACATAAACGGCCAGAAATCCCCCACATTTGGTTCCTGGTTTGAAGTTAGCCCCCGGGCTATAGGCAAACACTAACTAGTACGCGCTGTTATTGACTTACAATCGTCGTTGATTCGCCGATTACCAGATTACCAGATATAGATACAGTATCTCTGTCCTCACCTGTGGCTACATCAAAGGTTGCAGCATCACGACGACGACTAAAACGATGACGACTGAGAGTCGATTGGGCCAAAACTCGTCTCGCTGGCTGACTCAAAACTTCGGCATCTGCTGAGCGCCGAGCGCCGACTTAGCCAACTCAGCCAAGCTAGCCAACTTAGGGGCTGCTCTGGGCCAGGCCGGTATAAATGCGCCAAGGGAGAACATTTGGGCATCATTCGATTTGTGATTTTGCAACGAAGACGTCGCATCGGCTTCCAGCAATATCGTGTGCGGTTCGGTTCGTCTGCGAAACCGGTAATAATTCGATTCGCTGATTAGTGATTTTTCGTGTGTTGTCTTGCGGCTGCGAGGAAAACTCGGAAAAACCGCGGCGCTCATTTGGCAACTGGCAGAAATGGTGAGTTCGTTGGCAGTCGGAAAATGCCGCCGGTTTTCATCCGTGTTGTGTCTTGCAGCGCTGTTTCCTGCCTTTGGTGGCCCTGCTCCTGGCAGCGGGGCTCGTCCACGCGGATGTCTCCCACCTGGACACGGATCTGCAGGAGGATGGCTATCACTACAAGCAGCCGTCGGTGCCGTTTCCGCCTCCGGGCTCGGGAAATGGCATTGAGGACGGTGGCATAGGCCCAGGACCTTCGCCCTCGGCTCCGGCTCCTTCCTATGGACCACCGCAGACGCAGCCACCTCGTCCCCAGCCACAGCCAACTCCCACAGCTCCAGCTCCGTCTCCTTCCTATGGACCACCGCAGACGCAGCCACCACGTCCTCCACCGCAGCCAACTCCCACGGCTCCTGCTCCTGCCCCGTCTCCTTCGTATGGACCACCGCAGACCCAGCCACCTCGTCCTCCACCGCAGCCAACTCCCTCGGCTCCTGCACCATCTTACGGACCTCCCCAGACGCCGCCACCTCGTCCGTCGTCGCAGCCAACTCCCTCGGCTCCAGCTCCCTCCTATGGACCACCACAACCACAGCCTCCGGCGCCACAGCCTCCATCCCCGCAACCTGGACCGGAGTACCTGCCACCACCACCCCCTGCACCTCCTGCACCCAGGCCACAACCCACTCCGCCACCACCTCCTCCACCCAGGCCGCAGCCCACTCCTGGCTATGGTCCACCACCTCCGCCTCCAGGACCTGGTCCCAAGCCTCCAGGACCACGCCCACAGCCGGGATCTGAGTACCTGCCGCCTCCTGGCGAGAACGAGGTGACCCCAACTCAACCGCAGCCAACTGCTCCAGTGCCGGAATACGGTCCACCACCTCCGTCCAAGCCTGCACCACCTCCGGGGCCCACTTATCAGCCACGTCCCCCAGCACCACCTGCACCACCAGCACCTGCACCTGGACCCACTTATCAGCCACGCCCACCAAGTCCGCCTGCTCCTGCACCTGGACCCACTTATCAGCCACGCCCGCCAAGTCCTCCTGCACCACCAGCACCCACTTATCAGCCACGCCCACCCGCACCACCTGCCCCAGCACCGGGACCCACTTACCAGCCACGCCCGCCAGCACCACCTGCTCCTGCCCCAGGACCCACCTATCAGCCACGTCCCCCAGCACCACCTGCACCACCAGCACCCACCCAGGAGTACGGACCACCACCACCCACCAGTGGTGGCGATGAGGCGGGCTCGCTGGGACCCGATGGCTACAACTACAACAAGCCTGCCAAACCCTTTACCTTCTAGACAAGTACTCAAGTCCACTGTACTGTGAACCACCATTGGACCCACAGCCCACCACCCCAACCACCAAAATCTTTTTCCAAATAAAAAACAAATCTCGAAAAGCCAAAGTCAAAGCTGGATATGTCAATCATTCGGGGGATTCGCTGGTGGGTCAATGTCCCAGCTTAAAAACGCGACCTTCTGTGGCGTCACTTCTGACAGCCATTACACTTAAAGAAAAATATAATAATCAAATAAGGCAATTTAAAATATTTTTTTTTAAATTTAAAATATAAGGAAAAACGATTTCTATGGATAAAGAAATACATTTCTCATATATTCATATTTATCTTAAAATCCCTACTTTTTTACAGTGCAGGCATATGGCCTAGCCAAAATACCAATGGTTCAAGTGCAGTCCCCAGACACCACCCAGTGGTGCACAATGGCCTGGTGGCCGGTGGCCAGTTGGTAGGTCAAATCAATCAAACCTGGGGGTGCCATAACTCAGAGGCGGAAATTCCGAGAGCCTCAAGCAGCCGTGAACGTTCTCAGGCCGACGCTGTTTGCAATATCTATAAACCCATAACGACCATATAAATACATATATATATATAGATAGGTATAATAGTGAGAGTCCATAACGATTGCAATTGGCAATAGCCACAGACATTGCATCCATCCATACATGGGACACTCAAGGTGCCGGTGGAGCCAAAATAAATATGAGCGAGTCGATCGGCGATCAACGATCGACGACTCAATTCCCACCGGCTGTCGTCAGTGACTTAGTCAGTCAGTCAGTCAGCCAGGTTAATCAGTCATTTAGTCAATACGCCAGTTTAGCTTAGTCAATAAATTGAGTTAGCCGTGGCAACTTCATTAGGTTCCCAAAAAAAAGAAAGATAAACAAGAGACAACAACAAAAAAAAACTAAAACTAAACCCAAAACTGCAACTGCAACTGCAAGTGCGGTTGTGCAACGATTTTCGAATAGGGTTTTTTGGAGGGGTGGGTACATTGCCACTAATTACATAAGCACCTACCATACAAAACGGCCTTCAATTTCGCTGGACACACGGGCGCCCTAAGCCTCGCTCACACATCACAGCTCGATCTGAGCCATTTGATTAACGTCTTAACGAGCGGCTTGGGTGTGATTTATGTTGTCAGGCATCTGCAGCTGCACTTAGACTTTACTTTTTGCGTGATTTATGATTACAGCACGGCACTTGAAAAGATTGGGCATGACAAGAGATTCGCCACGCATTGTTTGCCTTGCTTTGATAATCATGCGATGGAAATTACGGCAGTACAAATGGCTCCATATGTAGTAAAGCTAAGGCCCAAAAAAGAAGTTCGAGCGAGTCACCTGCTGACCCTAGCTAATTTCTGCCACACCGATGACTATTCCGATTCCAATTCCATCCGGGTGTAAATTTCCCAAACAAGCTATTAATATTCCGCTGCCTCCATCAAGCGAACACGCAAATGTAAATGCGAGTATAAATATTAAATCATTCTAAATATGAAAGCGGCAAAAAAATACATCTGTTTTTTTACCCGAGGGCGAAATTCTCAACCGCTGGCATCTTCATCGTTCATCTCAAATTTCCAATTAATTCTTCAAATTTTATTCCGACAGGGGCTAATCGAAAATATTAATGAACATATTATAATTATGGCTTAATAGACATACAATAAAGTCATCGAAGTGATTTATGCCGGTGCCAAGAAGCCGTAAAGTCAAGAAACAGCACCTGTTCCCCCTAGAAATATTGCGCATACGCAACGTGGGCCACATATGCGTTGCGTTACGTTTGGCCCACCCTTTTGTAAATCAATCACAGGCGAAATTGCCCTTGGCACAGTTTCCGCTGATTTTTTTTTCTATTCTTCACTCGATTTTATCTTTTTGCTGTCTTGGCTCATAACTGTTCAATTGTAAACAACAGCAACGCACTCAGACGTTTTCAAACATTGCGTACGATGATTTGTGTAGACGGCGCAGGCCAAGCGAAATATGAATCAAGTCGTCAGCGGTGCTCGACTGGATCAGCGGGCAAAAAAAACAGCTATGAAAGCCACTCACGCATGCAATTAACTCTCAGTTCAAACAGTGAAAATATAATTTGCCAGCTTAAAGTTGTGCTTTGAAAATGGTTAAAAAAAATAAACTTTTGTTGGCCATAGATTCTATCAAAATGTGTAGTCTACTTTTTATCTGGCTTTTGCTCAAGTTTTAAGCTCCGTCAAAGCTTGACGTAAACAATTAACTTAATGTTAATTTGTAGCTTTGTCCACTGCCTTATCTCAGCTTTTTATTGATGCTTAAACAGATTAAATCTTTTTACTGCTGACAAAATGAGCCAATTAAAATCATAAAAGATTGTTAAAAAAATCTTAAAAGTTACTTTAAGACAGCTTTGTTTCATGGACTTTGTAATTAATTATGGCCTAACAATCACATTTGCCGTAAGTAAATCTAATTTACACCAATTAAATGCTGTAGCCTAGAAAACAAAGATTATAGACCGATTAAAAATAATTTTTTTTTTATTATAAACTTAATGTATTCAACACTTCGCTTAATTGTATTACAAGAGAAGGTTTTAGTAGCTGATGGAAATTATAAAAATAAATAATAAATAATTGTTGTTATTTCCAATTAAATATTAAAATTTTCACGATCTTTAAAGCTAGATCTATATAAATATTTCTTTTTTTTTATAAATAATATTGTATAGCTGTTAATAAATCTCTAGTAGCCCGAAGTCTTTGTTGCCTTAATGACTTTTCTTCACCTCAGTTCGTGAGCTGAATTTTTATAAAGGTTACTTTGCTATTTTTAAAAAAATTTTATGGCTATTCATATATCGATACAAGCCCCAAACCTCGATTTAGTTTGTTATTACCCTAATGTCTTTACTATTTTTAAATGTATTTGCTATTTTCGCGATCGTTTCATTTAAATATCGGCAATGAGCATACATCTCGATTAAAAACCCACTGATGTCTCAATTTATAGCTCTGCACGCGTAATTCCGCATAATCCATTTGCACTACAACTTCCTCATCCAATTGACCGATATTGACTCCTTTGCAAAAACAAAAACCCCTGACCTACGCCTCAAATCGCATGCTTGTATCGCATTAACAGTAAATTAATCAATTGATAATAGATGTTTAACAACTGTTTAACCTTCCCGGCCAGCATTCAAGTGGTTGCGAATTAATCACGAGTCCCACAGACAGCGGCGATTTATGATTAAACGTTGCGATTCTTGAGCGTGAACAAATCGTTTAGCAGTCAAAAATTGGCAATTACTCGGTGTTTTTTTTTGTTGGTTGGCCGTTCCAGACGCAGTCAGTCAGTCAATCGGCTCGTGGCCAAAAAAGATGATTTGGCTTAGCCTTTGTTAAGGATGTTTGCCTGTGTAAGCCGAGAGTATTGAAATCAAATCGCTGTGGGCGCCAGTGATTAGCATAATACCAAGGCATCGGCAACACATTTTGTCCGCTCTACTAAGTTTTAATTATATAACGAACAAAACACCAACATTAATCAAAAGATGCAGAAAAGAGCGACAAACTCGATGCGGTCTATATCGATCGAATTTGAAAATTCATTCATTCAAATGGTGCGACTTGAGCCCCAGAGGGCGGCTTTGTCACGCAAATTTTGTTAATGCCGCTTCTGACTTTTAGACTAGCTGACTGCCTGGCTACTTTTAAACTGCTGGCCAGCGTGAAGCAATTAACGGCATAAATAGTCTGGGCCATCCAGCCATGTGGGTCGTTGTCTTGAGAGCACTGACAGCACTTGTCAAACCAATCCATAATGGATGTCAAAACAGCAGTATGGGTCTCGTCCAAAGCTGGCTAAGAAATGCAAATGCAGAGTCAACACAACGAATCCGATTGAAAAGGCAACACGACGCATAGCAGTTAATCCAATGTTTACAATCTCTTTACAAATTTCGACCTTGGCCTTACACAAACAAAGCGCAGCAAACGGCATCCGAATCGAAACAATGTCATAGCAGTTAGTCAAAGCATCAAAAACACCAGACACATGCAAATTTTGGGTTTTACTATATATTTGGCCGATGGCAAGATGATCGTCCGTTGACTCACAGATTCGTTGGATGCCAGAATCTTACAATCTCACTTGGCAGACAGAACGGCGGGCCAAAAAGAACCTTCATCATCATCATCGTCCTCGCTAGCCGCTTGGCGATAACCATCATGATAATCATTCGCCGGTAAAAAAAAGAACCCATGAAACGGGTTCTGCTAATGGCCATTAAGCATCGTCCGACCATAATAATCAGCATTTGCATTTGTGCAAATTGGCTAGAATGGCTTATACTTATATCTATAAACATTTAAATCGACGAACTAGAACTGGTTGCTCTGGTCGACTTCGTGTCGGGGTGCGTTTCTCACCGAACTAGATCAGCATGAATGAAATCAATCTGATTGATCGCCTCGAACTATCCCATTAGCCATATAAGCCTAATGCTGGTTTTATTGCGTCAATTTTTCAGAATTCAAGTTCACTGCCAGTCGATTACAGCACATTTGCAGAGTATTATTGGGCATGCCGATTGGCGATCCATTTCCGTCTCCATATATGGATGTCCCCTATATACGTTTTGCTTATCTGGATTGCTATATTAACGCTCTGCTAATGAAATGTTAAATCTGACCTCAATTCTTGAGTTATAGCCAACCAGTTCCAAATGCAGTCCGAATTCTATGTCTATTAGCATAAAATTAGTCATATTTGTTTAAATTAGAAACTAATATAGTTTTATATGATTCATAAAATCTCGTTATCATTAATCGTTAAGAGAACATTCATTTTAAAACAATTCTATAATTTTAAAGATAGTACATTAATTTTAAGTTTTTACATTTAAAAGATTTTTTTGATATTTGTGGTTGTTTTTTAAATATTGTATAACATTATTTGTTAAAGGCACTCAATATATTATATTTTATACGAAACCATATTGAATTCGCCCTATTTAATGAAATTGGTCTCTTGTATTAACAATTAAATTGACTCTTTTATGAGCTTTACTATAATTTTTAAGGAGTTAATGTTATTTGAAATATAGATTGGTATAGTAATTATATCAAATTAATTTTTTTTAATATAGGGTTTAGTCTTTTAAGAACTGTATAATCATATTTGTGATAGAAACTCTAAAAAAATGTATTTTATATGAAAACTACTAAAGTTAAGTTAATGACTATATTTAAAATCAATATCAAGTGCGACTTGTTCCATGAAATTATACACTTTGTCTTTTCAAGCAGACATGACTGTTTTATGAGCTTCAAGTCGTGTCGTCTTGTATAGTTTATATCTATATTCAAAGTCAAAGTTCAAAATGCCAGCTCACTTGTCTTTGTCGGCGGCACGAGCCAGCTAAAAAGGTGCCAAAAGTGGCTAAATTGCTCAGGTTCACAGCCACCAACGTCGCGACGAGTCTTCGATGCTTTTTGGGCCCTCGGGCGGAATCGATTTCATTGTTCGCTGTTGTTGCGAAACAAATTATGGGGGGAGATAATAAAAAACTAATTATTAAGTTAAACAATGATTAGATGGAGCTCTTTGTGGCCATTCTCAGTCTCAGTCTCAGACTCATTCTCAGTCGCCTTTCGATTCTTGTGACCGTTTGGCTTTTATTTGATGTCGATTCTGGCTAATTTCAATAATTAATTTATGCTTCCCATTAAATGTTAACGTTATTCTTTGGCGGCTTTCACTGTGCGCGTGTCCCAGACCGCCGGCTTGTCTACGACGGGGATCGATTGGAACCAGAATAATCTACGGAGCATCTTCCCCTGTAGGGTAAACACTAAACAAGTCTAAACACCTGCAAAACAACTTGTTTCCATTCCAGAGAATTGTTCGTTTTTGGACACAAACTAACTGCTCCACTGTAGGTCAAGTGACTGATTGACGATAATTGCTAAATCATTTGTTACAGTCAAATGCAGAGGCGGAAACGAGACTAACCATTAACATTTGTGGGCTATTTAAAGACAATTTATTGAGACGGTTATAAATCTTTGAAGTACCTCAAACATTTTGAGTTGTTGCAATAAATATTTCTGGGCCTAGATCATCGATACCCAAACCAAAGGGTAACTCAACTTTTTCGACCATTCAGCCTCTCATCTTGATATGTTTTTTGGACAAGAGTATTCCATAGTTTTCAATTGTCTCTTCAAGATGATATATTTGCTGTGCTTCGCTTGTTGTTTGTTATAATTTTTTGCGTAAAATATTGAATATTCATAGTGGTCGACGGCGTGGTGAATGTGCGGAAGCTTGTATAAATAAAAAATTCCACAAACTATTTACGAAGCATTGTGTCGAGAATCGTGATGAAAAGACGGGAAAGCTAGAATAGCTTGAGAATCTTTGCTTAGTCAAGGCCAATTAAAAATGATATTACAGCTGAGAACCATCCAAATTTATTGGGGTTCAACATACCCTTTAAATGGAGTTATGTTTGCTAAGAAAGATGTCAAGAAACGAAACGAACCGTTGAAAATGTTTAATTTACTGCTTATTCACACGCGCATATTCAAATGCTAAATAAATCTGGTGGCCAGATAACGAGGCGTGTCTTACCGAAGACCAAAAAACTCTTGCTAACAAATGCGGCTAAGAAAATGTATTCGAAAAAACCCGGGTGGGCATCTTTTGTGATCCTTATCAGGTGGAGCGGATCGCATGTAAACACACTCAACCGAACAAAGCTTACCCACATAATTTGTATTTATTTCAGCGTTTAACCCCGGCCGGACAACAGGTCGTATGCTTGATATGTATGAACGCTTAGAGCAAAACAAAACGAATGTCGTGGGGCACGTGAAGTCGACTGGATTCTGGCTATCGGCAGGCCGAGGGTCATAAATTAAAAGAATCTTCGATTACCGGCATTTAGAGTTGGCCAAAACTCCTATGTCGGCTTATGGCTTTTGATTCACTTGGTGCGATATCTGGTTATCGTATGCAAATTGAGCAAAAGTATTCGCCTTGGTTCCGGCCAAATGACACGTTGATGGAAAGATCGAAAATAAATTTACCTGTTGATATTAATTTTATATTGGCATTAACATATATAAGAGCTTGTTAATATAAATGTAATCACCTCCGACACCTGCACTATATCGAAATCGTTTGTTGGTCGCATAAATTTGCCACGCCCTTGTCATTGATTTACCGATCAATAGTGTTGTGACCGTTGGTAGAACGATGCTTTTCAGACGCAAATGACACATTTTGCAAGTCAAATCGCTGACTCAATAGACAATGGCCGCAAATGGCAGAGGCAGCCAATAATAAATGTTTCGCGCGAGATCAAATTTATGAATGTGAAACCCAAGATGCCAGCGTACCAAAGCATTATTAATTACATTTTAAATTTTCTAATAACCGTAAAAACACACAATAAATTATTTTTCGGTGTTTATTATTTTGGTAAGATTATGAAAAATGTTGCATATACTTAGTATGTTTCATCTTTGGCCGTTGACAAACATGCCATCAATCAATGCAAGTGAAAGGCAGCCAAAATGATGTCACTTGATCGGATTAGAACCATTTTAAAGTGGGCTTTTTAGTCAAAGGCTTAGACATGGTAACATCTTTACAATGTCTGTTGGCAACTGAGTCGAAAAAGCTTAACCATTTCCTGTGTTTGTGCCACTTAATCTTTTCGGACCGGCCTTGATATCGAACAAATCATTTTTATTGGCACTGCATCTTTGGCTCAAGTGGCTTCATTCACTTGACGGTGGCAGGTGAATGTATTTCCCCACACACACGCATGAGAAACGGAAATGATGTATGCCCAAAAGCCGTTAAATTTGCTTATTGTTGCCACTGAGGTCAAGTGAAGATACAAACAATCACGCCAGCAGACAATCCAATGAATGGAAGAGAGGGCTACCAGGCAAACAATCTACAAATTGACATGATAAAGTCAGGTTTTGTCTATTAAAATACAGAAAAATAAACAAAATCAGTAGATATTCTCCTGGGTTATCTGTTTTGTTGACTAATCTTCCTCTTGGATAGATTTTGTGACTATTCTAGCAAACTGGAATAGAGTCACTTCAGTATGAAAATATTTTTCTAACAAAATATTATGCAAATTATTTCATGCAGGAGACAAAACAAGAGACTTAGGCAAAAAAATTCAATTGAGGCACGCGCTGCGGGGAGAAAAATAAATAGCTTTAAAACCAGAGTATTTACACTGACAAAAATTTAGTTTAAAGTAATTTATATGGCTTAAGTAAAAGACTTAAGCGACAAACTTTAAAATGGTGATAAATGATCATTTAAATGGTGATATTTTCGCTGAGACAAATTTTCGTATAAAATGGCAATATTTATTATGGAAACATCAATGGAAAAAGATTTTGGAATCGGTTAGTTAACAAACACAAAAGAATTTCTCGAGCTAATTAAAATGTAATTTAATTATTTAATTAATTTAAAAATTAACAATTATTAACTTTATTTTACAAGCTATTACATTTTTAACTATTTATAAATAATTTAAAGTTGTAAAAATTCTTATTTTTTGCAAAATTGTTTGGGCAAAACAAAAGACTTAGGAAACGAACTTGAACTTGTGTGTAGTAAAAACTGGATCAAAAAGGCTGAGCTGCATTTTTAAGAGCAAGAGATTATGCTAAAACCGTGGCTTGGCTAAATAAAGTTGATCCATATTTAAGATTGATATTTTTATCAGTGTGGTTTTCTGCTCTTTCAGTGTCTTGTGACTTGTGTGTGCGTCATGGCTCGTGACGACACCGAAGTGATTGTCCAAAGGGTTCCAGCAGCAACTCCAGCGCCTTTTCTAGCCGCGGATTCTTCTCAATTCGTTTCGTTTCATTTAATTTAAATTTTGATTTGAATTGCCACTGCCGCAGTTGTTGTTTTTGGTGCTGAACGGTGCCGCTTCTGCTGCTAATATTTTATTTTTGCCCTATGTATAACGTGGTGTGCGGTTTGTGTCTCACCGGGTTTTTGTTTTTGGCGGTCGCCGCCGCTCTGCCCAGACTCTCTTAGACCCACGTACCGAACTGAACCGAACCGGACGGACCGAACCGGCGATATAGTATAAATTTCATACCCACTGACCAGCTCATCATCATTTGTGCTTTGAACTTCTTAAGTGTAAATTGCTCGATCGCTTCTGCTCGAGAAAATTTCGTGAAACCCAAAAACCAATAAAAAAAAAACAAAAATGGTATGTGATCCTGGAAAGCAGGATAACGAATCCTAGTGAACTGCTGCTTCACCAAGCAGGATATAAACTAAAACCGAAAACCAAGTGAATCGTGAACTGAATCTATTTAGATCAGAAACCAAAAAAAACTCTTACTCACAAGTGCTCCCCAACCCAAGCTCAAGTGTTCTAAACGACTTCATCAACGCGGCTGTCTCATTTCGAGTGGTCCTCGGGACTTATTTCACTTCACACCCGTGCCGGAGTCACGCACATAATTATGATCCAGAACGTTCTTAAAATAGCAATAATATACTTCAAGCTCTAAAATATTCAGTCTAGAGCTTCAAGTAGATTCCTGTTTGATTTGAGCTGTTTCAAATGGAATTTTGACTTAATAAAGTGAACAAATATATCTTAAATCCTCCTCTATATGCAGAGCTAATTAACTTAAAATTAATATTTTTTATTAAAATTATTTGTTTCATTATTATTATTCTTGTTTTTTTTTATTTGCTTGGGAAATGTATTAAATAACTAAAATTGTATGTCTTTCAACATTTAGCTGAATAGTTTATATTAGTAAAGTAAATTTATTTTTGCATACAATGTTTGAAGTCTTTAGGCACTCAAGACATTTAACGAGTTCACAGAGTGGTCAGGGATATAGTTCGTGAAGCGTAGAGCTGAGCTTTAAAGTTGTTGATTTAAATTCTTTAATTTTCTCTTTCAGAAATTCTTTATGCTTTTGGCCCTGGCCCTTGTGGGCATCGCCGCTGGAGCTCAGCTGCCCGACTCCGCCACCCAGGGACCCAATCCCCAGGACATCGCCACTCCGGAGCCGGAGTACATCGATATCGATGAGCCTGCGCCTGCGCCGGCGGCTTCCGCTCCTGCCCCTCGTCCTGTGGCCGCTGCCCCACGTCCTGTGTTTGCTGCCCCCGCTCCCATCCCCCGTCCTGTGGCTCGTCCCGTGGCCGTGGCCCAGTCCTTCGTCCAGCAACCCATCGTCCAGCGGGCCCAGTACCTGGCGCCAGTGGCCCAGCAACAGGTGGTCGTGCCACAGCAGCAACAGCTGGTGGGCCACACCTACAACAGCAGGGCCGGCTACCAGTACCGCCGTCCAGTCTATGTAAGACGTTTCTACCGCCTGCGCCGCTACTAAGAGGACGCAGCTAGCTCTTAACTATATTTAATACATGCTCGACAATCCTAGTAATTCCACCTATATTTTGTCGTTTCTCTTCCTTCTCCCACCACTCACCTGCCCGCAACAACTCTATACGCACCAATCTCCAAATCCAAATCCAAAACCAAACCAATCCAATCAAAATCCAAACCGAATCAAGCATTAACAATTTTACCTAAATCAAACACACATTAAACCACGCACTGATCACCACTATCAAAACTATCAAACTATCTTATTTAACCTATCCTAATCCTAGAACGAAACCATCAAAGAAACGACCAACAAGAACAAGACAAGATCAAAAGCATAAAGAGCGAAGTACAAAGAGACAAATGATGTTCTAAAGACAAAGATCGAAAAACGAAGTATTCAGTTATTGTTGAATTGCCAAGTAAAGTACGAATAAATAAACGTAAATTATTTGTAAAAATGATAAACATATTTTGTTCGACTATTTCATTACGTTCATCATCGGCCAAGGCCAATAGAAACTGGTCGGCGGTGGCAAACTTTTGGGGGAAGAGTATCAGGTTTTAATTATATTATTCACAGCTCATCAAGGCACAATAAAGTGTGTCGAAATTGTACACAGATTCGTTCTCGATTTGATGAGTACCCCCTGTCGGCAGGGGCCTCTCATTAATCACGGAATGCCATGAGGAAAATGTATTTGCCATCTGATATGGGCATTTGCATACGGAAGCACTGAGGCCGCAATGGGAAATAATTTGTGTGTTGCGTGGTGTCGACACTCAGTAAGCCAGCACTGGGATTAAGTGGTGCGGCTTCTTCGGCCAATTAGGTTGGATTATTTATGCAGGTTCTTGCACGACTCTTGACGGGTCGTAAACCGAAACTAGTCACAGCGAAAACAAATAGAAATACATAAATCTGCTGGATTACTTTCAAAATACATTAAATTTTAACCGGTTTAAGCTTCTGCCAAACCTGCTAAGTTATTCCCAAAAATACAGGTAACAACTGGCCACATAGACAAATCAGAAGTGTAAACAATCCGTTTTAAAAGCCATAGTTTGTCCGGGTGGCCAGGTTTTGTGAGACAATGTGCTATTGATTGATGGATTGATTGTCAATTTGATTGCCTTGCCTCGGCTTCTATTCAGGGGCATTAACAGTCGCTTTTGTCGTCGAACTATGACAAACTGGGTCTCGATCTATCCAATCCACTCTACTCCCCTCGGCTCCTTTTGTGTGCCAGCGATGACAGGCGTGGAATCCATCATTTGGAGGTGCTTCCGTCTTGGCTGGGATTTCTACCGATTCCCTGGGTCAAGTGGCAATTATGCATCGCTCTTGGCCTTGTTGTCTGGTTGTAATTACATTGATTTTCACACCTTCAACCGGCTTTCCATTATTGCACCAGCAAAGCCATTACATTTTATATGAAAACTAATGTCCGGTAGTTAAACGGAATATAAATAAAAGTATTAATACTATTTGCAAGCTTAATCTATTTTTGTTGTTGTTTGTTTGTTAAGGTTTATATAAACATTATGGCTAAAATTTATTCTTACAAGGGTTATACATTGATTCTTTTTTAAAAAGCGTTTGTTTATTGTTTTACAGGATGTTTTGGTTTCTTTACTTAGTAGCCAAAACTGTTATACTCCTTAAGTTTATTGCATAAATTCTGGAGGCTTCTTGAATGTGATTGAATTTAAATAAAAAGCCAAAAGGTAGGCAGCATATACTTAGAGGGCTGGAAGCAAAAACCAACAGCTTATATTTTGGCTGAGAAAAGACAAAATGATTTAAACACAAGTATTTTCATGTATACATAATTCCACATTTATCATTTGAATCCCCTAAAAAGGGGTTTTAAAGAGTTTAATGAGTTCAATGTATTGTAACACAGTAAATGAAAAAAAAAGTATAATTTAAGGTATTGGATGTTTGTCTGTTCTTGTTATTAAATTACATTTTATAAATCTTAATCTGTACATTTAATTTGCGTTAGTATCAATTAATTTCCCTTTCGATCCAATTCTGATTTCGAACGTTAGTCACCAATTGCAATATATTAATCATACGCACAGTATGCACATGCAAACCTAATTTATTTAAATAGTTATGATAAGCATGTTTGTCTAGAATTTAAATAGTTATGATCTACGTCTAGAATGATTAGATTCTACCCGAATTCTAATTAGCATTTCGTCTATAATGCATCAACACCAAAATATCGTGCCAAAAATGAGGAAACAAATAGTTGGTTTCATTAGTGGCGAATAAGAAACAGGCTAAACCGCCTGGTCGACTGGGGTCATCAGTTTTGCTTTCTAAAATCAATGATGGGAGACATAATTTATGGGCCGTGTTTATTTAAACGGCGCTACTAAGAGCAACAACCGTAGATAAAAACTCTTAAGTAAATCATTGTTGGGCGTTCAGCCGCTGATAAACGTAATAATCTAATTAATTTGCATTTGCTGACAGAAAGAAGCGGGTGGAAACGGGTTCCCAGCCATTAGATCATGCAGCTGATTTGCATAAAAGCAATTCATTTTGTCAACAAACATTCCGCGAGTCTTCTTCTCCGTTGATGACAGACCCAAAATAATGAACTACACTTCCTGATCGCATTAATTTCACTTTCACAGCCACAGCATCGTGGGCGGATTTAAAGAACTCCGGGGAGTCGAAGGTGTATCTTCACACCTCTGAAACAATGCCAAGCGATTGTCTCGAGCAATTAAGGTGGCGTCATAAATTATAAGACTGTCGTTTATTGAAGCTAAGCCACAACAATTCGGTCCATAAAATTAGAGCTTAGAGCCGTTATGGCTGCTCACTTCAATCGCTCATAGTTGGGTTTTTATTTGTGGTGTCAATAAATCAAGCCGGAATTGGCCATAGAGCATTACTCAGTCCGGATCCCAAAATAGCCACAACTGGATTACCCATGAATGAAACTGTTCTGCCGCACTCAGCCATATTTTTAGCTGTCCCAGGGGCAATTATGCTGTCTTACGAGTCACTTGAGCTGAGTTCGTGGTCGTGGCCTCTCTTGGCATAGGATTTTCCCTACTCAAGTTCAAGATCAGAACAGGATATAACACTTGGGCATATACGTTTTCGCAGTGCTAAGCTTTATTCGTTTTTTAGTGCAGGCTGAGCGTGGTAAACAATAAATAACTACAGGTAAATACGTGTGACATTCAAAGACAACAAACAAAAAATGGCTGAGGATGAGTGCTGTTTAGAAGAGGAAAGGCTGTGCTGGGGGATCGTAGTGGTAGCCCTCATCACTGTGCGGCACTGGGATCTCCTGGGGCGGCAGATAGGTGTTCACGGGTTCCTCCAGAGGAGCAGCATACGAGGGAATCGGGATCTTGAAGGTGGGCACCACAGCTGGAGCCACATAGCGGGGTTGCTCCACCACGGGTGCAGGTGGCAGATAGGCGGGCTTGGGTGGGTTGACCTTCACAACTGGAGTGGGAGGAGGCAGATAGGCTGGTTTCGGTGGGTTGACCTTCACAACTGGAGTGGGAGGAGGCAGATAGGCTGGTTTCGGTGGGTTGACCTTGACAACCGGTGGTGGAGGAGGCAGATAGGCAGGCTTAGGTGGGTTGACCTTCACAACTGGAGGCGGAGGAGGCAAGTACGCAGGCTTGGGAGTCCTGACAATTGGCACCTCAGGCTTCACAGTCACAGGAGGCAGGTAAACTGCTGGAGGTTGAGTCGCAGGAGCCACACGAACAGTCACAGGTTCCGGGGGCAGATAAGCTGGAGCCGGAGTGGGCAGATCAAAGGGAATGCTCGGCGGGTCATAGTTGTAGCCAGGATGATCGTGGTGATCATGGTGATCATGACCGAACAGATGCGAGACATCGGCGGCTACCAGAGCCAGACTGCAAACAGCCAGGATAAGAAGTTTCTAAAAAATAATACAAAAATAAGATTTAAGAACTCCAACTTATTATCCCTGAGGGTCACAAAACAAACCATGTTTTCTGGTGGAACGTTCTTGCTGCGACGACGGCCTCTACCAAAGTGATACAGTTTCCGGCAAGTGCTTCTTTATTTATACAGTTAGAGAACCTGAACCTGAACCTGAACCTGAACGTGAAACAAAAACACTGATCGCTATTAAGTCAACGCCGACGCCGCGAGAGACGATCTGGCTGCGATCTGACTATACTGACTTTGCTGACTATATGGCCCGGCTGTCAGCTAAGCGGCGTTTAGGGGTCTCGCCCCTTTGACAGCCGGTATTGGAAATTGGCATTCAATATTTATTAAATCTCTTAATTCGAAGGCATCTCGTTGCGTTGGCTTTTGTTTTTTGGCCCGGCCAGAGAGCTCTTTATGGCTGGGAGCCATAAACATGTTGGGTTTTACGATCGATGCTGCGTTTGCCAACTATTTAAAATAGTTTTTGGTTAGGCAATGATCGGGATTTATAGTTGAACGCACTCTTTTTTAAGCTGCTAAAAATGTATGAAATAAAAACATTTTATAGGAAGGGGTTACAACGTCAAGATTACCAAAAAATCGCCATGAAATTACAAACAAATTTTTGAATGCAGATTTTTAGAGCCTAACGTCACAAGACCTGAAAGATATCTTACTTCGAAATCGGATGTCTGTAAGAAAAGTTATAGAATTATATCTGCATCTTTTTGGCCACTTTTCTGCAAGGTCATTTTTTGGAAATTTTAAAAGGTGTTACATCATGAAAATTACAAACAATCGACCCGATTTTACAAACCAATTTTTGAATGCAGATTTTTAGAGCCTAACGCCACAAGACTTTAAAGATATCCCACTCGAAATCGGATGTCTGTAAGAAAAGTTATAGAATTATATCTGCAGCTTTTTGGCCACTTTTCTGCAAGGTCATTTTTTGGAAATTTTAAAAGGGGTTACATCATGAAAATTACAAACAATCGACCCGATTTTACAAACCAATTTTTGAATGCAGATTTTTAGAGCCTAACGCCACAAGACTTTAAAGATATCCCACTTCGAAATCGGATGTCTGTAAGAAAAGTTATAGAATTGTAACTCCAGCTTTTTGGCCACTTTTCTGCAAGGTCATTTTTCGGAAATTTAGAAAGGGGTTACATCGTCAAAATCTCAAAAAATCGACACGATTTTACAAACCAATTTTTGAATGCAGATTTTTAGAGACTAAGGCCACTGTATTGATGTTTCCTCTGAAACGTGCTTGCCCCATCTCTGGGCAACATTGAAAGAGGTCAACTGTCGCTCCATAGCTGTTGGCTGCAATTGACGATTAGCGATTTTGGTTCGGCTCGAATCTTTCTGTTACAGACACCGCATCCAGCTATTAATACCTTTAACCAAACACTAACATCATTTTTCATCCGAAAAGACAGTAATTATGGACACTTCAGGTGATGATCATGCCGAACTGAAGCTAAAACCGAAGCTGTTCGGCTACTTTGGTTGATTGGCCGCAATTAGATTTGGGGGTCAGATGGCCATCCACATGGGGATCCCTCGGGGCAGGGTGACAGCAATTTGGGTTCGATATATGTTTGACCTTGAGAGGATTGGCCCAAGAGTGGTGTAATATTGACTACTCCATTTCGTTTTTAGTGGTGTATTTTGCTTTGAATTTGTACAGCTTAAACTAGGTGCAGTGTTTATGAGAGTTTGTTTTTGTTTTTTTTGTCGGTGGTTGACTAGCCTAGTGTTTGAAGCGACGCAGTGGTGGCTTGTAATGGTATCCCGGTTCGGCATCATGGATTGGACTGGGAGCAGGATCCAAGGGAAGAGCGTAGGATGGGATGGGGATGTGGAAGTCCACCTCTTGTTGGGGTGGCAGATACTGTGCCTCCGGCTTGGGAGGCAGATACTTCTCCACTGGCTTCGATGGAGGCAGATACTTAACCTCCGGCTGTGCAGGAGGCAGGTACAGTCCCTTGGGAGCCACTGGTGGGGGAGGTGGTGGTGGGGGCAGACTAGGCGCCACCTTAGGAGGCAGATACCTGGCCACTGGAGCAGGAGGCAGGTACTTCACCTGTGGAGTCGTTGGAGGAGGCGGAAGGTACTTGGTCTCCGGCTGACTGGGGGGCAGATAGGTGGGCTTGGGAGCCCGAACTGGGGGTGGTGGCGGTGGAGGAGGCAGGCTGGGAGCGACCTTGGGTGGCAGATACTTGGCCACAGGCTCGGGGGGCAAGTACTGAGACTCTGGCTTCGAGGGAGGCAGATAAGTGGCCTTGGGCGGAGGAGGTGGTGGCGGTGGCAGGGCCACCTTGGGCGGCAGATACTTCTGGCGCGGCTTCTCCGGAGCTCCATAGCTGTATCCACTGGGAATATCAAACTTGGCCTCATGGTGATGGTGATGATTATCCGGCTGGTAGTGCAGATCAATGTGCAAATCATGATGGTGATCGTGATGATCATGATGATCATGATGATGATGATCATGGGAGTGAGCATCGAAGTGGTGATCGTGCCCGTGATCATGGTGGTGATGGTGATCATGCCCGTGATCATGGTGACCTCCTCCTGCTCCATACAAATGGGAGACATCTGCCCGAACGCAGATGGCAAAGGCAGCCAGGGCCACTAGGATCAGCATGGACTTCTGCAATAAAGTCACTTTAATAAACGACTTCCAAAAAGAGATAATCCTGTTCCACTTTACCATTTTCTCCAAGCGATTATCCACTGATCTCAGATGATGTTGCTGTCGTTTGCCGACAACAGGTAGTAATGTCAATAACGTCGCTGGCCACCTCTTTTATACAAAGATCGCAGCTTCCACTTTGGTTTTCTTCACACTTTTCTTGGTTTTCATGAACTTGGAGCCGACCAATTATCGGCGTGTGGTGGTTTATCTCTTTACCCCACAACAACTAATGCGATTTCGGCTAAATTAAGTCTCCACAATAAAGCAGCTCATGAATATGCAGTGGATGCGACGAAATCCCAGACAATTGACTGTGATTGACTTGGCCATTTGTGCTCCACTTTGTCCCATCTTAAAATTAGGGAGATATCGATGCTAATGGGGTTAACAAAACAGCGTTTATTGAGATAGTTTTTTTTAGCCTTATGTAAACGTAAGCCTAGTGGAACGATTTAAAACAAAACAAATCCGGGGAAATCTTCCATATTCAGTTCGGTGGTTATTGCTTTTCTTTTGGCCTAGAAGATGAACTCTTGGGCAGGTGCATCGTAGTGGTAGCCTGGCTCTGGTTGAGGTGGCGGGGGTGGCAGGTAGGTGGGTACCGGCGTGGGTGCGGGAGTGGTTGTTGTGGTGGTTGTAGTGGTGCGTGGTGGTGGTGGTGGTGGAGGAGGAGGTAGGTAGGTGGGAGCAGGAGTGGGGGCGGGAGTGGTTGTGGTGGTGGTGGTGGTAGTGGGTGGTGGGGGAGGAAGGTAAGTAGGAGCAGGAGTGGGAGCAGGAGTGGTTGTAGTAGTGGTAGTAGTAGTAGTGGTAGTGGTAGTTGGTGGTGGCGGAGGCAGGTAAGTAGGCACCGGTTTGGGTGGCAAATAAGTCGGTGGCGGTGGTGGTGGCTCAGTCGTTGGTGCAATCACAAATGGCACCTCCGGTTTGGGATAATCATAACCATAGCCATGATCATGGTGCTCCTCCAAAAGTTCCAGTGGCAAATGGGACACATCTCCAGCTGCTAAAGCCAGCAGGCAGGTGGCCAAAATGAAGAACTTCTAAAATAGTACGAAATCCATTAAATCCAGGCTGTTTTATAGAGCGAAAACCAAGCAACTCACCATGTCCGTTTTTATGATATTTCTATGTCTGACACCTTGAGCTCTTAAACCACAAATGATTGACCGTTTGCATCGACAGCGGTATATTTATAGTCAAAATTCTAAAACAGATCGACACTGTCCATGGCTCTAGAGGCCAATTATTATCATTTAAATCGGTATAACTCCGCTAGCCCCACGGCATTCTTTGTATCGGTAAATGTGAATCTGTATTTGTAAATGTATCTGTAAATGTATTTGTATCTATAGCGCTATGTTTATATGAATGATTAGCGCCACAATAGTGCGCCGAAGTTGACAGAGGAGCAGAGTCAACAGCACCGTCATTGTTTCGGCAGAAAAGCTCTGCAACCATTATGCCTTTATGGACCCTACTGAGCCGTTGGTTTTCATCAATGTCGTCACTTCGGTTTTGGGTTACCACTTCGCTCATTGTTACGGTTTTAAAAGTAAGCCTCCACTTCCGACGGAACATGGGGCACAAAGCCCAGCACCCAGAGAAATAGAGATCTCTTTCAGTTTTATATTCATATTTTGTCTCATATCCATATATGAATATTCAGATAAATCTATAAAATCATAAACAACATTTAAATTGGTAATTATTGGTTAAATTAATACTTATGTGCTACCACTAAGAGCTATGCATTTAATGTCTTAGTTGATTCATTTAAGCCGCCTTAATGTCCAAAGATACCACTAAATCTATTGATTAATATTTTATGTGTTCAATGTTTTTTATTTTCTATTTATAAATAACTTATAACATTTTTCTCTGTGCATCTCAGGAGTCAGTTCCGCCGCTGGAAGCGTTGTAAGCGTGCTCTGCTGGCTGTCATAAATCATTTAGACTTCATTTATAATAATTATGGCTCGCGCTGCCTTTTGCAGCTCAAGAAGTCTGAGTGGTCAGCGTTTCATGGACAGATGGACAATGAAGCTGTCTGCTGGACATGATCTTGCGGAAGCAATTCAGTTACAGATCAGTCGAGTTATATTGCAGAGGCGGAGAAGATGGTTAAAGACCTACAAATAAGTGTGATCGAGGAAAAAATTCAGATCATTTTCAAATCTAAATTCCTCTATTAAAACAATTTAAATTAAATTTATATTTATAAAAAATATGCTTTATATTTAATTTATTTTAAAAATGATTTCTTTGTACAGATTCTGGTTCTGAAATATATAAAAATTAATGTTACTATAGGACTCGTTTTTTGGCGCAACCGTTGTATTTTAAAAAACTTACAATGACAACTTCAGATTTGATTAATTTATGTAATATTGGTAGCTGATTTATGAACAATCAAAAATTGTGAACCTGATAAAGGTTCTTGTTTTGGAATATATTACCATATATTAAGATACGGTCTTCAACACAATATAAGTTTTTAAATTATATTCAAATACTACTTAAGATTTATTTATGTTTTATATTGATAGAAAAAATTGTTTACTTAAAAAAGATTCTGGTTATGGAATATATTAACGTATAGAGTTATATTTAGACACGGTGTTTATAGAATTAAAATAATATTTTGAATAATGTCTTGGGCTTATGAAAAACTTCCCATCGCTTTAACAGCAGCGTTAAATCAACTAATTAGTTGGATTAGCGTCTTCGGTCGCGATTGTATAACCAAACAGACGATACTGGTCTGGGTTCAACTATCACTTTTTGTTTCATCGCAAGCCAGACAAAAACTATGGGTTGTTGAACCGCTCGCCTGAGATCGAGCTGATCGATTGTCAAGTGCCGGAATCGATTGGCGTGTGCTGAACCATCCTCGTTTCTGCTCGCCTTTTGCCAAAATGCGCGCATTTTATGCCGATTATGAAATTAATTGTCGTTCTTTATGGGCATTAATCTCAGCGCTGCCTAGGCCTCACTTTTTTATGGTCCATCGCAAATATGTGCAAAATTGTGTGAGTCCTCAACCGGTTTAGAATAGAAATATTTGGTCAAACAGTGACATTTTCTGCTTTTGTTTTTTTTATGAAGCCCCAACTTTAAGCTGTGAATCTCGTTCGAACCGATTTCAAGGTAATTAGTGTTTGGAATAAGCCCTGTCCAAGGGCCTGATTTGTGAAAGGAACGCAGACAAATCTCGGTTTGATTTAATTTTTATTATGTTTACGAAACTTTGGTACAAATTCAATTTACTAGGGCGGGTATTTAACTCTTGAAGCGCCGACTGGGCACCTGGTACTTGTAGCCATGGAGTTTTTTGGAGGGCGTTATACTGGTTTCAGCAACCACTTCTGGTTCCTCGGGTTCTTCGGCCAGTCCAAGTTCTGCATCGGAAGGAGCCACTGGAATGGCATCCTGAGGGAACTCCTCGCCAGTGGGGAACTCGTTGCTGACCTCCAGTTCCAGCTCCGTGACCTTGGGCACATCGTACACAAATCCATTGCCAGATCTCACCAGCTGAGATACATCTGCTCGGGCGGCAAGACAAAATGCCATGAGGAAAATACTGATCATCAGGAGGCGCTAGAAGTTAAGAAGGAAGAAAAGTCCTACAAATATTATACCACATAACGCAATTCTAGAAATATTTTACTATCCTTTAAATATGATATCATATTAAGCGTTTTTACATTCCAAATAACCGATAGTAAATCAAGTTGATCTAAACGCTCATCAAAGAGTAATAAAAACATGTTTAAATGCTTAGAATAAAATATGCGTGTTTGTTTATAATCCATTTAGTGGTGTTTAGATCTTAAAGAACTAGATTTTGGAACAATAAATTATTAAATGCTCTAAACAAAATATGCAAATGCATTCAATAGTTTCCGATATAACACTAACTTGATTTGAAAGTACTAATAAAAATATATTTTTTTTAAATAGCCATAGTAGTACATGATTAATGCTTTAACAAAGAGATGTGCAAATTTTATGAATAATTATATTGAGAATTGTCTTTTTTGTGTCTTTTTAAGTTTAAATGTCAAGTAAAAACCACTGATTTAACACATGTTTTAAAGGCAGTTTTATCCGTGTAAGTGCCGGTGGCAAGCTACTAAAACAGTCGCTTACCATGATGCTAGATGATCTTCGGAGGGGGATTTCTTGGCTGGGGAACCTTTGAGAATGCCGTAATAGTCGTCGTTGCCAGTGGAACGTTGCTCAAGCGAATGCAGGCGCCGGCGATTGGGCCCAAACTATTTATACTTCTATATGTTAGCCACATTTGCCTCATTTTATTAATTGCGATCGTGATGACTGTGCTGAAGCCAAAACATAAACACAAGCCGAACCGAAACCAAAACCAAAACCGAAACAGTGAGCGGCCCTAGATAAACAAAACAATGCGAATCGATGTCTTGGGCCAAATGGCGGTGCTACTGCTGCTGTTCCACTCGAAATGCTACAACATCTCCATCTCCAACCACATCGGCATCCAAATCCACATCCACATCCACAGCGCCATTGCCAAGGCTAAGACTTGTTATGTGGGGTCAAGTGTCAGTGCGTTGGCTTTGTCTCAGGCGCATTTGTTTGACGATTTGTATTCGAATTAATGATTCTGACGGATCAGTGTTTGCCCCCAGCCACGTGATCTGAGTGGCGATTCAATTATGCAGCCCTGCCCGATCCATTCGTTGAGCATATAAAGCGCATAAAGGCGACGTTTCAACACGTTTCCGTTTCATTGGCTTCTTTACGGCTCTGCAGATCCGCCGCCGATCGCACAATTTATCCATGCCAACCTGACATATTGATTATAGTATGCATCGCATTTCGGTGGACATCGGAAGATTGATTGCAAAAGCCATTCGGCCATTGATTGGGCTGGTTTATGTGGCGGAAATTCCACCTGCTGTGAACTGCCAACGGGATCTGAATGGTGGAGACACACCCTCTAATTGATTGGCCCCAGAAAGGCAGACAAAAGCCAATCGAAAACAATCAGACTTTTATAACTGGAATAAGCATTATCCAGAGAACAAATTACTTCGATTTTACTGTGGGAATGCGGTAGTATTTAGAATATACTGCTGTAAAATTTA